CACCCTGGGGGTCAGATGTGCCAAGAAGTTTTATTTTTTACTGTGATTCTTCATGTACTACTTAAATGTTTTCATCACATGCATTTATTAATCTTCCAGGTAAGAAAAAAATTAATCAATAAATGTTTTAAGTACCTTTTAGAGAAAGGATATTTATCCAAATCTTAAGCTATGCTCTCCAGAAGTTCCATAACTTCAGACAAGTTGTTCAATCTGTTAAAAAAAAGGGGGGGGGCCCAAAATAAAGTCATTCATGCCAATACTCGCATCACCAAACTGAGACTTAATTACGGTTTCAGCTCTCCCAGAAATGGAATCTTCAAATCAATCAATCAATCAGGAATCACCTAATCTGCACTAATTAGGTAATATACCTAATAAGCCCCTACTATCCCCTAAAGGAAAGTAACTTTTCAATAACTGACCTGCTTTTTTTGGCTTAGAATGACTTCCTTATTCCCTTTCCCTTCTGCCCATAGAAGACTCATCTTGTACAGCTCCTCAGGGCTCCTTTCTGTTAGATTGGATGCTGCTCAATTCGAACCACTTTTTGTTCAAATTAACTTAAAATTTTTAATATGCCAGTTTATCTTTTAACAAATCTCTCTGCCCTCCCTGACAAGTTAAAACATAGCTTCCTTCACTTTGTTTTATCTTATTAGATACAGCCCAGCATCTTCACAATTTAAAGTAGTCTAGGGACGCCTGGGTGGCTCAGTTGGTTAAGCAGCTGCCTTCGGCTCAGGTCATGATCCTAGCGTCCTGGGATCGAGTCCCACATCGGGCTCCTTGCTCGGCGGGGAGCCTGCTTCTCCCTCTGCCTCTGCCTGCCATTCTGTCTGCCTGTGCTCGCTCTCTCTCCCTCTCTCTCTGACAAATAAATAAAAAAAAAAAAATCTAAAAAAAAAAAAATTTAAAGTAGTCTATACTAGTTAACCAAAACCAATCCTGGATGAGTAGATATTTTACATACAGTTTTTAATCTATTAACTAATTTCTTAAAGTTGAGGGAAATAATTAATATTCATTAAGATATTCATGATAATGAAATAGCATCCAATGAAAGGTAGGTCTACTTTCTAACACACTCCTCCTCTCCAAAGATTAGTTGTCCTCTGTGTAGCTTTCCAGAAATTATGTTAATAAGTACTTATGAAGTGACTGAATAAGCAATTTTATAATTGAATGTTTCCGAGACTCCAAGTCTCTTTCTAGGTGCAGGGGGTAAAGGATAAAAACCAAGTTGCTAACCTCATAGAGCTGACAGTTTAGTGAGAGGAGGCAAATAATATGTACATAAATTGATACATACATATTATTTCTGAAAGTTATAAGTCATCTTTTAAAAGAAGAGTAAAGAACGCAAAGTCACAGACAAGAGTGTTGTTATTTTATAGAGAGAGTTCTGAGACGGTGACATCTGAGCAGATACCAAATTTAAATGAAAGAAGGAAAACATGGATATCTAGGGTAAGAGCATACGAGGCAGAGAACAGCCAATGCAAAGGCCTTCAGAGAGTACCTGTCCAGTATCTAAGAAACTGTCAAAAGACCATTGTGGCTGTAGCGGAGAGAGCAAAAAGAATGGTAGAGGGTAAAGCCAGAGGGATAACAAGGGACAATACCATGTCAGGGAAACAGCTGAGACTGTGGATCTTATTCTGAGAAAAATCAAGGTTAGGGTGGTACTGGGGGTCTTAAGAGAGAATTAACATTCCCTAACATATTTTTTAAGGATCACTCAAATCACTGTGTTGTGAATAGACTGGTAGTGGAAGGTGGGCAAAGACAGAAACATGGAGATGAGTTCAGTGGGAGATAAGGGTATTTTGGACCAACAGGTAGCGGAAGTTGTGATAGATGGTCATATTCTAGAATATTCTCAAGGTAGCCGCAACAGAATTTTCAGGCATGCCAAATGTACACTTTGAGAGAAGGGAAGTAGCTGTGGTTTGGGTAACTGGAAGGGTGGACTTGCCATCAACTGAGATGTTGAAAATTGCAGATCCTCTAGATTTTGAGGGGAAGATCACAAATTTGGTATTTTAAGTTTGCAGTATCTATTAGATATCCAAGATGGAAGAAATTAAAGCATATGTTTGCTAAAGACCAGTCTATTAGAGAAGGGGAAATAACAACATCAGACAGAGAGAAATTAAGCAGGAGGGGGCAGGGTCTAATACAAACACGGAGAATCTTTCAGAGTGGAGGATAGATAGTTGTTCATCTAGTTACAATCTAGAAGATGAGGTAAATGGGCACAGACAAGTAGGTGGGTGAACAGGTTGGCAGGAATCAGTATAAGTTCTGCTATTTGCTTCTATTTTCATAATGAAATAGAAAAGAAAATCTTGTTTCAATAAATTAATGAAAACCTTTCTATCTCCTTGCTTAAAACCTCCCATTAACTTTCTCTCACCATTGGAATAACAGCCAAACATTTATCACCGCCCACAAGACCCCACAGGACCTTGCCCTCACCTATCTCTCCATTACCCAAAATGTTTCAGCCACATGGGCCTTATTTCCATGCCTCAGACATGTACAAGACAAACTCATACAAGCCTTGGGTTCTCTGACTGGGACCCTCTGTCTGGGACAAGTAAAAGAGGTACCCTATCTTCCCAAGTATGACTAATTCTTATCATATAGGTCTCACCTCAGAAGTCCCTTCCCCAGACCTTTTTTGAGCATCCCATCTAAAGTAGCACCTCCTTTTATCAAAAGGTATTTTACTTATGTGTTATTGTCTGCTTCTTCCCACGAATGTGTTTCATGAGAAACCATCACCCCTGACTCACCTCCACCTTCTCATTCTCTCTCCTCTGATCTGCTGTTAACTCTTCTTCTCTATACTCATTACCACTGTATATATAGGGCATATCCATCTCCCCTGAGAGAATAATAGCTACATCCAGCACACAGTAGATACTCAATGAGTATTTCCTGATCAATATATTTGGGAAATTAAATGAAAAAATGCATGTAGAGCACACAACAGAGCACCTGACACATAGTAAATTTCAATAAATATTAGCTGCTACAATGATGACAACAAAGACTACCAAGGCAACAATCACAAGCACAACTATGAAAAGCAAATCCTCTGTGCTCTTGAACCAATCCCCTTCGTGCTGTCAGAGACTTTCTCTCACTAATTGCATGTCCCTCCTTCCTCTTTACAGACTCCTTCCCTTCAGCTAAAATGTGCAATATTTCACCACTATTTTTTAAAAATCAGTTAAAATATATTTTTCTTAACTCTGTCTTATCTTATTAAGTATAGCCAAGTATCTTCACAGGGTAGCTACAAAAAAAAAAAAAAAAAAAAGCCTATACTAGCTCGCAGTTGGTTAAACAAACAAATCTTGAATGATCACTCATTTTTATTTACTATTTTTTTCTATTAGCTAGTTTCTTCAAGTTGAACAAAACTACTTAATATTTGCATGGTTAAAATATTAATAATTATAAAATATTACACCACGTAAGGTAGATATATTATCTCTGTCCTCCCTCTCCAAGGAAATCAGGTATATTTTGTGTATCTTTCCAGAAATTATGTATGCATATCCAGACATATAAATATCCTTTGAAATATCAAATAGGATCATATTGTGAACACAATTCCACACTTTGGGTTTCTTTCAGGTTATGAAACAACTTGAATGGCTTTCCAAAGTTCACATTAAGAGCTATATCATTCTTTATACTGGCTACATAGCATTTCGTTGTATTGATAAAATGCCATCTATTTAACTAGCCTCAAATGCATTATTTATTGGCATTTAACGTGTTTTCAGCCATTTCCTATTGTAAACAATGCTGTAACCCATATACATGTATCCTTGCACAGTCCTTTAAATACATGTATAAATAAATTCTTAAAAGCAGAATTGCCTGCATAAAAGGCACATGTGCCTTCAGTTTTTTATTGATATTGCCCAAATATCTTCCAAATAGTTTTATTAAATCACTAAAATTTTCTAGTCCTCTAAATAATAAAAATTATTAGTAACTGCATATTTTTGGTGCGGGAAAGGGAATAATTCCTGAAGCTCCTTAAATCTACTAAGAAAGCGAATGAAATCACTCCTCAAGAAAATATTAATACTTCACCATGTTACGTGTTTTTTAAAAAGAAAAGCAGCACTATTTCTGGGAAAGAATTATTTTCCCACTTTTGGTAATAAAAGTTCACCTCATTTCTGTTTTTTTAGTCCTCAATAATTCTTTTTCTGGGCAGCCTGGGTGGCTCAGTCGGCAAGGGTCTGCCTTCAGCTGAGGTCATGATCCCAGGGTCCTGAGATCCAGCCTGGCATGGGGTTCCCTGCTTGAAGGAAGCCCGCTCCTCCCTCTCCCACTCCCTGTTTGTGTTCCCTCTCTTTGTCTCTGTCAAATAAATAAAATCTTTAAAAATAATAATAATTCCTTTTCTAAACCTCTTAGGAACTCAAAGCCAATGGTAACAGGAGCTGAAAGAAAAAGGAAAACATTAAACTCGGTTTCTAAGGAGCACGACAAGATTCTTACGTTTCTGGGCAGTGCAGTGCAGTGACTTTGAATTCTTGTCGTTAGAGATGTTTTTAATTAAAAAAAAAAAAAAAACTGCTAGTGGAATCTTTAAAAGGTCTTAACTCTTGCCGATGAAAAAAATTTTTCTCTGCCTTATTTCCCCTACAGATTGCAAACTCTTGGGGTGAGGTGGACGACGGGGTTTGTAAACGGTTGCCTACATTTTAGGCGCTTTTAGCTGATAGTAGCTGTCCCAGCTTTAGCCAGAAGAGCCACTCAACTCCTGCTCCCCTCAGCCCGGCTCTGCGACTTCCTAGCCTGTCTCCTTCACATCCTTTAACCACCCCCCTCCACCCTTTAACCGTGGACGCGCCGCTGGCCTCGTGTCCCCCGCGCTGGGCGCCGTGGAACAATCCGTGACGTCAGGAGGCCGCGGCTCAATGAGACGCGGCGTTTGGGAAATTTTAAACTTAAAGGCGGGGCGACCCGTGCTCTCCGAAACCTAGAAGGTAGAGCGTCTGGGCCAGTTCTCTGGGGTCTAACCGAGCGGGATGGCTGAGGAAGGGGCTGTGGCGGTCTGCGTGCGGGTCCGGCCGCTCAACAACAGGTACGTAGGCCAGACCCAGACCGGGATCCCGCTGGGGCCTTGGGTGTGGGCCTGAGCCGGAGAGTTCCCGCTGCTCCTTCCCGGTTCCGCGGCTTGGGATCTCGGCCCCTTACCGGCTTTGTGTCCCTATCTGTAAGTGACGGAGAAGGATCGGAGGATCTGGAAGATACTTTCCATCTGTAGGAGTCTCTTGAACGTGTAACTCAGGCTGACCAACGTTAAAGACCTTGCCGCTGGCACCGCACTGCCGTTCTCCATCTGAGCCTCCTTACCACACCCCACCCCATTCCTTAAAGGAAGTCGTATCGGGTAATTCTTACAGGCATTCATCACAGTTGGTCATTTTGCACCTAACTCTCTCCCTCTTCACTGTGTATTCCTTGAGAGCAAGGACTAGTCTGTCTTATTGCACTGTATTCCTAGGCACTCAAGACTTCATTCAGTCAATGACTGAATTCAACGTCCGGAACGTTGAATGGCTGAAATTCATCAATCCTTTTTTTTTTTTTTTTTTTTTTTTAAGTACAGTGTGCACTATTAAACAGACACTACCATCATTGCCCCTGTGGATCCACATTCTAGGAGGGCAGACAGGAAATAAAGTAAAAAATATAGAATGTTAAGTTGACATTCATGTTACAGGAGTAATAAATGCTATAGAGAAAAAGCAGAAAAAGGGGAAGAAATGAAGTCTTTGCTTCTCTAGTCTCTGTCCCTTACCCCAGAATACTAACATACTTTGTGTTTGAGAAATATTTGTTAAATATCACAAGGTGTTTAATAAATGACAATATCAAAATGAGGAGTTTCCTATTTTTAAAGGGTTTCTTATCTAATGCATTAGGAGACAGTTACGTAAAGAAACCATTACAATACATGGTAAACAAGTGTTATGATAGGTGGAGAGTGTTTGCTAGAGGAGTCATTAATCCCTCTGAGATGACACTAGTGACAGGGGGTGTCAGGAAAATCCTGACACTTCATGAATTAAAGAATAGTTAAATAACTTAATGGAAAGGTTAGTCAGGGTATTCCAGACACAGAGGGGCTGCATTTCTTATTTCGATGGGGACCTTCAGGTAGCTGTATGGAGTTAGGTATATATCAGAATTTAGAGCAAGATAATATTAAGGAGAGAAATAAACATGATCCAAGTCTAGTGTGCCATATTAAAAATTTTAGATGGTCTTTTTAAAGTTTTAAGCAAGAGGGATATAATTAGAATTGCACTTTGAATGTATCTTTTTACCAACCAGTACTGGGTAGGAGGGTGGAAATGAAGAACTTGACGAGGAAATCCCCATGTGAAGGCAGGAAGTCACTGGCCCCCACTTAAAAGTGTAGACCCTTCAAAGGTGGATTTTCCATATTTCTCATATATAGTATAAGTCGATACTGTCTTTTAAAGTATTCTTCAGAAGATGGAATCTTTTATCTGTCATATAACATGACTTCTATGATCAGTTATACTAAAATGCAGTGTTTTTATTGTTTCAGAGAAGAAGCTCTTGGAGGAGATACCCAAGTTTACTGGAAAACTGACAATAATGCTATTTATCAAGTTGATGGCAGTAAATCCTTCAATTTTGGTAGGCTTATAATAGCATCAAAAGTTAATCTGTTATCCTTTTCCTATTAGGAGTAAAAAGGCTTATCAGTGATAGTGGATTTGTCATTAAAGATCAGACTAAGCCTTATATAAACTGCTTCAGTAGAAACTAAAAAATTATTCATCCATCATGTATGATAAGTAAGATAATAAACTGATATTTAAAATGAAGTTATAGTCATAGTGCCTTATGGTTGAAACTAACATTCTTTCCTTTCTTCACTAGTTTTTTTGTGGACTAAAACCCCATAAACCCTAAAGTATGTTGCTTAATGTCAATTCATGTTTATGATCTTTCAATTTAGTATATATTCCACAGTTATTTTTGAGAAAATTCTTTAAAGAATAAATAGTAAAGATAGTCCTTCATTTTCTGTTGGAATACAGCAGAGACCTACCCTGGCCTTTGTGGAACTTATATGGTGAGAAAGACTTTAAATGAGTAATTGTACTTGTGTTGACATAAGCTTTGGGAGAGTTTATAGCGGGTCTAACTAGTCTAAAAGGGTATCTAAGAGGCTACCACTGGTACTGGGACCTGCAGGATAAGTGAGACCTAGCTAGGGCAGAGGGACATGGAGATTCCGAAGGCTGACAAGGCTGATTTGTGTATTGATTTAATACGGATGTATTGGTGACAGTGTGTCAGACACAGTCATCCAGACACAGTGTCATACAGATTAACTCAATCCTCCTGACAAGTTTATATTGTAGGTACCTTTCTATTTCAGTAAGGAACTGACATAGGCCTGGAGTCACTCAGCAAACAAATGGAAGAGTCAACCTCTAAATCCAGCCACATTAACATGCTGCCGCTTAGGCACCTCAGAACAACATTGAGGTCTTCTCAAAAACTTCAGGAGTAAGAATGGTTAGGTTGTTGAACGAACATTAAACTAGAAAGCCATCATAAAAGGTTTTGGAGCAAAGATCTATAGAAGAGAAAACAATTTCTGGTAAAGGACTGTTTTAGAGCATTAATATAATTTTTAAAAAGGTAAAACAATATATCCCAGAGATTAAAAAACCAAGAATGAGGGATACACAAGCATTCAGACACATGAACTATAGATTCTCAGTAGCTGTGTATGTCCATAGAGGATTTAGAGTTATCCACCCATCTAAAGCAAATGGCATTAAGATTTGAATCATCCTACCATCTCTCCTTGCTCTAAAATCATAACCCCTAAGCCGCCTTCAGATGGCACTTTGGTTTTCCATTTTGTTCTGCCAAAAGCGCAGATGTGTAGTCAGAATGTAAGCAGTCTGACCATTGAATTTCTTGTTAGAGATAGATACATTTCCTTCCTGATTTACAAATCCATTTCTTGTGAGATTTTTTTTTTAATTTATTTGATAGACAGAGATCACAAGTAGGCAGAGAGGCAGGCAGAGAGAGAGGGAAGCAGGCTCCCTGCTGAGCAGAGAGCCTGATGCAGGGCTCGATCCCAGGACCCTGGGATCATGACCTGAGCCGAAGGCAGAGGCTTTTAACCCACTGAGCCACCCAGGCGCCCCTCTTGTGAGATTTTTAATATGAGGCCAGCATTGAAAGGTAGGCCATTTTTAATGTGCTAATTATGCTAACAAAAGCAGAGAACCACATCCTAAACTAGTGAACTCATCGGCACAAATACACTGTAAACCCAGCCTCCTTTAGCAGCCAGCCAACTAGTCATTCCCTGTAACCTTTCAGCTTTTCTCATGTCTCCTCCATATGTGTGCATTTCTCAGTTTAGTTCGAGATAGACCTTCTTGTCAAATATGTTATAAACTTTAAAATTTCTCAAAGCATAGTAATAGTTCACATTTCATAAGTATTAACCATATATTCATAATAATTCTATGAGGAAGAGAACACATATCCATTTTGCAGATTAGGTAAGTGAGGCACAGAGACATCAACCACCTTGCCCAAAGTCACACAGCTTATAAGTGGTAGAACCAGATTTGCACACAGTCTGATTCTATACTCCTGAATTCAGCCACTATGCCCTACTGTCTCTTGAAAATGCATAGGATAGCTAAGAAATCTGATGTGTATTTTTTCTTTGTGAGGACCAACACATCTTACATTATAGAGAAGTATATTTTCAAAGGACCGATAAGATGAAGAGAATATTGTGTCCTAAATATTTAATCTTACCATAGCCTGATAATCTTATTTCTTTGGACAACCACTAGGAAAACAAAGTTGATTTGTTTGATTTAACTTCAGTGTGTATGTGTATGGTTTTTTTTTTTTTAGATCGTGTCTTTCACAGTAATGAAACTACTAAAAATGTGTATGAAGAAATAGCAGTACCAATCATAGATTCTGCCATACAAGGCTACAATGGTTTGTATTCACTGTAGAAATATCTTAGTATCAGTTCTCTATTCAAGTATTAATAGTTTTACACCCCATAGATTCATTTTTAATCTTTGCATGTGTGTGTGTTTTGTTTTTACAGGTACCATATTTGCCTATGGTCAGACTGCTTCAGGAAAAACATATACCATGATGGGTTCAGAAGATTATTTGGGAGTAATACCCAGAGCAATTCATGACATTTTCCAAAAAATTAAAAAGGTAAATACCTTAGCTAAATTTCTGTTAAATATAGGTAAAAGTATTAATAGTCTCTTGTAATGATGAAAGGAAGTAGATTTATAGTTGTCTCTTCATTAGCCATGGGTAAAGAAGACATAACATAGATTCACTTTTTTCCCCACAAACTTACTTTGTAGGGCCTAAAGGCCTTTCAGTCATTCACTTAAATCCTGAAACAATGCTAATCACACCAAAAAGTGGGTGTTGAGGAACAAGAAAATCTTACCAGAATGGTTAGCTCCTCCTTGCTTGTTTGTTTACCTACCAGTGATTATTAAGGAGTAGAGAAAAGTAGAGGTAGGAAAAAGGCCAGAATAAGCAACCTAACTAAAAGTTGGTTTTAGGTTTATTTTTTCATTACTGTTTTAATGATTTTTAATGTCCTTATTTGAGTATCTGTTGGTGGGGTTTTATTTTGAGTTTAGAGAGTTGGACTGGGCATTCCCCTAATTCTTTGATACTATACTTTTCATTATTTCTGAAACATATTTTTATATTTTTGTGTTTATCATCAATATTAAACCATATGAGGTTTCATTTCTTGTTTGCTTTACAAAGATAATTTCTGAGAATATTTTAATATTTAATGCTAGCACATAAGTATTCAATATTGGGTTTTCATAAATGGATGATCTCTGATGTTTTTATAAATTTATTTTTCCCTCTAGTTTCCTGACAGGGAGTTTCTCTTACGTGTATCCTACATGGAGATATACAACGAAACCATTACAGACTTACTCTGTGACACTCAGAAAATGAAGCCTTTAATAATTCGGGAAGACTTCAATGTGAGTTACAGAGTTGCAATAGCTCTAAAAATAGTTGCTTATTGGGATTATTGTTCTTGAACATTTACCTTTAATTTCTATATTTTTAAACTATCTCCTGTTTTATGGTTTTTCTTTCGTGTTTATAAAGACAACATATGAACAATATGTATAATTTTAAACATTGGCAACTGTAATATTTTGGTGTAAGTACCTTAAAAAAGAACAAGATGGAAGTATCAGGTTAGAATTTGCTGTGCTTTGGTATAGGAAATAAATTGTACATATCATAAGTTTACTTGTTATTTTCATACATTTTCCACCAGTAACTTCCACAAATGAATTCTATAATAGTTGACAAATTCTTTTTGAGATGCACACTTTTTAGTGACTTCTCCTCTACTCTTTTCATAATGAAACTTGTTTCAGAGGAATGTGTATGTGGCTGATCTCACAGAAGAAGTTGTTTACACATCAGAAATGGCTTTGAAGTGGATCACAAAAGGAGAAAGTAAGACTTTATAGTGTATTTCCCCAAAACACTTATAAAAAGTATTCAGTTAAACGTATTTAGGCTTCAAGTCACACTTTTCATTCTTAAAAATAGAAGCAAATGTTTTTCTTTGAATTTTAATGTACACAGCTGAAATATGACTTACTTTTTACAGAGAGCAGACATTATGGAATTACAAAAATGAATCAAAGAAGCAGTCGCTCCCATACCATTTTTAGGATGGTAGGTAACTCTCTGTTTGGCCTTTCCAATTAAAAATGCACTAATTTTTTACAAGCTTTCTTTTCTTTCTAGATTTTGGAAAGTAGAGAGAAAGGGGAACCTTCCAATTGTGATGGATCCGTCAAAGTGTCCCATTTGGTGAGTATTGATGGACCACGGTACTGTACTGTATGGGCCAAAGCATAATTTAATTTGGCTGCTGAATGTTTGGTTTCATAAGGACTGTTAACTGAATCAAACAAGCAAAAACATGTATAAATTGGTAATTTTAGTCTCATCGGTAAACATGGGATTACTAGTTAAAACATAGGAAGAATTTAGAGGGTCTTTCTTCCTGTTATGTTATGGCTGCCTTTCCTAAAATTTAGATGGAAGGACTTTTCCTAACCAGAGTTGTTGGGGGGAGATTTTCGATATTCATTTAAAGAGTTAAGAGTGTTCTTGGAACAGGGTGGGAAGAGGTTTCTTGGAACAGGAGTGGAAACCGTTCTGTTTTGTTGTTGTTGTTGTTATTTTGTCTCAGCCAATAGAATTGAGACTCATGAGATCAACAAAAACCTAGCTGGGACTGTTAAACAATAAATCACATTATTTAAGTATATTCTTAAATATAATAAGAAAATGTTTTATATTATAAACATAGTGTTTTAGACTATAAATTCCTTGAAGGAAAGAGTGATATCTTATTCATCTTTATAGCCTCAACACATTATACATAGTTTATATTCAATACCTGTTTGTTGAATAGTGAATATATACATTACGGAAACATTCTTTTTCTGCACCAAGTAAACCTTCCATTTCCTTCTTGCTGCAATATATTATTTCTCTCTCTTTTTCTGTGCTTCCTTCCGTTTCTTGCCAATATTCTCTGTTTTCAAGGTCTAAATTTTTTAGCATTTAGTGGGAAATGACTTAGGATTATTCTATCCAATTTGAAAATTTCAGGAAAAAAAAATCTGTAATATGTTTTTTCATTTTCAGATTTGAAAAATCAGTCTTGATTAAATATCTAATTCTAGTTCACCTCAGTTATTTACTTTACAGCATAAAATTTATTTTAGTTAATGGCCTTGCTTTGATTTAGCAACAACAATAACACAAAACCTAACTTCTGTTTTGTCTTCTAAACCTAATCTGTGATACTTCACTACAATTTTAACATTTCTCGGGGCACCTGGGTGGCTCAGTGGATTAAGCCTCTGCCTTCAGCTCAGGTCATGATCTCAGGGTCCTGGGATCGAGTCCCACATCGGGCTCTCTGCTCGGCAGGGAGCCTGCTTCCTCCTCTCTCTCTCTCTGCTTGCCTTTCTGCCTACTTGTGATCTCTCTCTGTCAAATAAATAAAATCTTTAAAAAAAAAAATTTTTAACATTTCTCTTATTAATTTGTTTTTAATACTCTCGACATATTCAGTGATCCATTTGGTGACTTTTTCCATATTCTTTGATGCTATATCAAATGGTACTATAGATACCTTCTGGTCCAACCCTTCACCTTCCCACTTACTCTAAGCATCTTCGGAAGAAGTCTTCCCCAAAAAAGTCATTTTCAGGCTCTTTGGAGATGGCATGCATGCATTTATTTATTTATTTACTTACTTACTTACTTATTTATTTTAGTGTCTTTTGCTCTTTCAGTTCTTAATACCCAGCTTCTTTCAGCTCCATTCCTTCTTTACTCCCTTTACTCCCTTTGTGGTTTCTTTTTCCTACCCTCCTATCAAAAACATAGGAGTATTGTGCTGTGGCCTTCTTACTTCTGTTTGCCCTCAGACATCATTGCTATGTTGATGATAGTCAAATATTTATTTTATCTAGAGTTTCTGAGTTCTAATTCATGACTGTAAAGATGATTATAATTGTGTGTCCCACTGTTGTTTCAAACTTCAGTGTGTCTAAAACAAAATTAATTTCTTCCTATAGTAATGAGTATTCCTGTTTTCTAGTAGTACCAGTGTTACCCTGGTCACCTAGGTCAGACCCAAGTCAATGTTGACTCATCTTTTTCTGCCTTCCCTTTTATCCAGGTATTGACATTTCTTATTCAACATTCCAATGGGTGTCATACTCATTTAGGCTCTCATCCCTTGAATTACTATATCATTCTCCTAGACCTGGCCTCAAGACTCTGGTTTTCCTTTCTGCAATCTGTTTGCAGATTTCTAATTTTTCTAATATTACTATGTACTGCCCATGTTGTTTCACCACTCTTAACTAACATACCTTCACTTCCTTCTACTCCTCGTGAGCTCCTCTCTTATGGATACATTGGGCCTCCTGGTGTCTTTGAACAGTGATACTGGTTCCCATTTTTATTCCTTAATTTATGCTGCCTTTCTCACCATTTTGCCCCTTTATTATGGTTCTAGGTCTTCTGTAATATAGATACTATACAAGAAAGATTACACTTTGAGCATTTTAGAGAAAGTAGTGTCTAGATAGGACATAATTAAAGCAGGAGTACATAATTACTGTCCATCCCTGAAAGTGTCCACAGAGAGAGAGAATTTAAATCTCTGACTTTGTTTTAATGCATTAAGAATATTTGCCGAAACTTCATCATGTTCTGTACATAGTACAGCTCCAAGATTCAAAGAATAAAGAAGATATCCCTCCACCACTTACGTCTCCATGACAACCTCCCTAGCCCAGGCCTCTCACTGAGATTCCTGCAGGAGCCTCCTCACTGGACTCCCTCCTTCCACTCTTGCCCCTCTCCAGTCCTCCACCCAGGGACAACAGGCAGTCCTTCAGAAAGTTAAATGAGGAGATGTCTGTCACTCTCATACTAAGCCCTTTCCTGTCATATTTAGAAAATCCAGAGTTCTTACTCTTCCTTACAGTACCCTCCACAGTCTGACCCCTACCTATTTCTCTTACCTTATATTGTCCCATCTCTCCTTCACCATGCTGCTCTTGTATTTTTTTGAATACACCCAACTCATTACTGCTTTATGACTGAGTGTACTAGCTATTCATTCTATCTAGAGTGTGTCTAGAGTATGTAGGGTCTTTGCTTGGCTGGCCCTCTCTTCTCTGTCATTCCAGTTCCTAGCTTAATGCGAGGCCTTCCCTAACGCCTGGTCCAAAAAACCTGCTCTGTACTTTCCTCTTCCCTCTTCCAGCACTCTTTTTAAATTATCTCTATTACATTTACCATGATGTGTTTTTTATCTGTCTTTTTCTCATTTCTCATGAATGTCCTCCTCTCCCCATCCTGCCTCATGTGGAATAAAAGTTCTGTGAGAACAGAGAACTTATTTGTCTGATTCATTACCATATCCCCACCACCTAACACATGACAAGCAGTCACTTTTTTGTCAATTATATTTGTGAAATGAAGAAGAGACCCATCTTTTAAAGATGCTGCAGTGTAGTCATAGACATAAATGACTAGCTCAGCACAGGAAGTACTAAAGATTAAGTTGTATCTTTAAAGACCACTGGGTACGCTGTTGAAAGAACAGCTCATTCAAGGTGTGAGAGAGGAAGGGTAAAGGTGGCAAAGTTTTACTAAGGAGGTAAAAATCAACTTTGGTCCTGAATAAAGAGTAGGGACAGAATAGAACATTAGAACTGAATAGACAAAGGGAATGGTGAAAGGTAGCTCTTGGAAGTATAGAAATACATGAGGCATTTAAGGCATAGCGAGTAGGTCAGCTAGAATTCTGAGCGAGTAATGGGTAGATTTAAGGCTGGAGCAACACAAGTGCCAGATTGTGAAGAATCATATTCACTGGTAAGGTTTTGAACTTTGTGTGTGAAATGGAGAACCTATTCTGAGAGCATTATGGAGGATATATCATAAAGAAGGAACAAGGTATACAGATGAATTTGACTCAGAAAGGGGAAAGCCTAATTAGCGCGATGAAAGACAAGCACCAAGGTGGGGTATGCAAATAGGCTGTATGTTAAAATTTGTTCTTCCAGTAGTTGGGTTTTTTTAGTTCAAGTTAGACTTAGTTCAAGTTATCTAACTTTCATCTATCTTACAGAATTTGGTTGACCTTGCAGGCAGTGAAAGAGCTGCTCAAACAGGCGCTGAAGGTAATGGAAACTCATAAATGTGTTGTTCTCAATGTCATCTTGTTCTTTTACAGAATAAAAAAAAAAATGCTACTTACACTTTAGAAACTAATAAATCTAGTAATTTTGTGATGAAAGTTTTTTGTTTTTTTTTTTTTTTAAAGATTTTATTTATTTATTTGACAGAGATCACAAGTAGGCAGAGAGGCAGGCAGAGAGAGAGGAAAGGAAGCAGGCTCCCTGCTGAGCAGTGAGCCCGATGCGGGACTCGATCCCGGGACCCTGGGATCATGACCTGAGCCGAAGGCAGCGGCTTAACCCACTGAGCCACCCAGGCGCCCCTGTGATGAAAGTTTTTAACATAAAAAGCAGCTTCTGGGGGCGCCTATGTGGCCCAGTCAGTTGGGTGTCCAACTTCAGATTTCAGTTTAGGTCGTGATCTCACGGTTGTGACATCAAGCCCTGTATTAGGCTCCCACTGGGCATGGAACCTGCTTGAGATTTTCTCTCTCCTTCCCCTTACCCCTATCATGTTCTCTCTCTCAAAAATTTCAAAAGAAAAAAAATTTTTCAAGTCCATTAAAAGGAGCTTCTGTATCTGGCAAATTATCTATTTTGGGCTTCTATAGCATCAGTTAAAAAACTAAAACCATGCAGTTGATAGGATTGCATAGCTGCAAAGCTTGTGAGAGTACCATGAAAACCATCTAGATTTTCATAATTAGTAAGGAAATTCAGAAAGGTGGTGGAGTACAAAGTTATTATATAGACATTAATAACTCATAATACAAACAACAAGTTGGAACATTTAGTGTACAAAAAGACTCCATCCATTTACAATAATGACTTAAGAGATCTAATACCTAAGTAGAAACTCAACAAAAATTACCCAAGACCAAAATAAAGAACACTTTAAAACAGACCTAAAGGACATAATCAAATACTTAGACAAATGGAAAAGCATACTTAGATGGGAAGTTTCATAATCATGAAGATGTCAAACCTTTCTATATCAATTTCCTACAGCCTGACACAGAGACTGCTCATCTGAGCATGGCCTACATCCACCAAACCAGTGGATCCTGCAACTAATTGGCCAAACTAATCTAATGGCCCTCTGTGAAGAAGAAATACATGCTCGTGTTTTAAGCTGGCATGTTACAGCAATGTAATAGCAGTAGCTGAATCATGCCCCTGTGAAATAGCTGGTGTCCAAAATATTTGTTGTAATACTTTCTGCATATGTGGTAGATTGAAATCCTGCATGTCCCTCAATAGGGTGCTGAGTGAATAAATTCTGATACATCCATTCAGTGGAATTTTACGCTATAAAAAAGAATGAAAAACACCAATGTTTACTGATAGGCTATATTGCCAAGCTAAAAAAAAATAAAGCATAATACAATTAGCCTATATAATGTGCTACTATTTGTATAAAAAGGAAAAGGAAGAAATAAATGTATGTGAACTTGTATTTGTAAAAATCTCTACAAGAGTAGACTAATAAAAATGGTTTCCTGGTAGGAGGATCGATCTGTTTGGATGGAGCATAGGAGTAGGAGAGAGCTTTTTCAGTGTCCTTTTGGATTTTTGGATATATGAGCCATGTGAGCATTAATTTAAAAATTAGAATTTTGTTGGTAGTGAGCTGATAGGAATTAATTTGATTAGTCTATAGTTGCCTATATTTGGAGGTTTGGAAAAAAAACAGATTTGAACTGAGGAGTTAGACAGGCTCTCTTAGGAAATGAACTTCTCTTCCCTCTAATTCTTTTTTTTTCTTAGCCATCTGTTTCTTTTTGCTCTTTCTCTCAGGTGATAACATTTCTAGTTTACTTAATAGGTTGGAGGAATAGGGAGAGAGCTCCTTTTACTAGAGGTATTAAAAGTGGGCTCAGGGCGCCTGGGTGGCTAAGTGGGTTAAGCCTCTGCCTGCGGCTTAGGTCATGATATCAGGGTCCTGGGATCGAGTCCCGCATCGGCCTCTCTGCTTGGCAGGGAGCCTATTTTCTCCTCTCTCTCTCTGCCTGCCTGTCTACCTATTTGTGATCTCTCTCTGTCAAATAAATAAATAAAATCTTTTAAAAGAAAAGTAGGCTCAGATCTAATCCAAAGCAGAGACTACAATCTGACCCTTTAATTTCTAATTTCTTTTATAACTTACTGATAAATAAGTTCATCATCTAATACAGAGGTTAACTTTAGATTTCATATTTGCCTAATAAATACAGGTGTGCGACTCAAGGAAGGCTGTAATATAAATAGAAGTTTATTTATTTTGGGACAAGTGATCAAGAAACTTAGTGATGGACAAGTTGGGTAAGTTTATTCCATTGTACATTTACCTATTGTGCTTAAGGTTGAAAATTATAGTACTTTAGTAACACTGAAATAATGTACTGATATCTTCCCTGTATTAAAAACCTTTTGTGATTCTGTGAGCATGGCTAGCTTCTTAGAAATAAGACTGTAACCTACTAAATTTACTTTTTATCTTAAATATAATTTAGTTAGTAGTTTTGATCTGCCTCGTGTAACCTATAAAGAATTAATTTTTAAACTATACCTAATTTAAGGTTCTGCATTAAAAACAATCACATTTGCTGTATAAAAATTTCTATTTTTTTTTCCCAAACCCCTTTCTCACTAAGTGGTTTCATAAATTATCGAGATAGTAAATTAACACGAATTCTCCAGAATTCCTTGGGAGGAAATGCAAAGACACGTATTATCTGCACAATTACTCCAGTGTCTTTTGATGAAACCCTTTCTACTCTACAGGTGAGTTTGATTTTTATTTCAATATGGGGGGAAATCATGTTTAAGCAGAAAAAATTATGCACTAAAATTAGGCATCTTTTTTTAATTACATAACATACCTGCTGCAATAAAATTGACATATTGCCTACTAAATACTATTCCTTTATTTTCCCAAATTTCAATCATTCATATCCCATCTCCATAATTTTTGCCACATCCAACACTTCTTTATAAAAAAAAACTCACTTTTTCTACTTATTACAGAAGGAAACTGTGTCAGTCCTATGAATGAAAAAGTAGTATCACTTTCAACAAATAGGTGAACCAAAAAACACGTGTGTGTGTGTGTGTGTGTGTGTGTGTGTGTGTGTGTGTATTTATAACAAAGTAATTCTTGAACTCCTGCTAGCTGGTTGTTGCTACTTTTGCTCTGAGCCTATGGCTTACATTTTCTGTTAAAAAAAGGGAGGGGGGATGAGAAGTGTCAATAGAACAGCTGTCTCAATCAAGGATTCAGTGTTATTTAGTGGTCACCTTCATGGACCCACTTACAGTTACTTCTGCTACTCACACACTAAGAAATATTATTCTAAATAGTTATCGAGCACTGCATCAAGGTAGTGTCAGAGAAGCAAAGATAGAAAGTATAGTCCCTGACTCACAATTTATAGCATCAAAATTTATAGTCTTAGAGGGAAGATGAGACCTGTCTTCCAATGTGATTGCCTTGGATTAATTAACTATTAATAAATAGACTAGAGTTCAGAGAAAGGAGAGATAATTTCAAGTGGAAGCAAAGCTTCAGGATAGAGGGGGCAGTTGTGCTGGACTTGAGGGGTGGCTGGGATTCCAGTAAGCCAGTGTTTGTAGGCTCTCTGTTGGCATGCATCCATCTTCAAGATATTTCCTTCACTCTTCTGAGGACTAGCAGCCAAGGTAAGTTACAAGAACATAGACTAATCTCCGTGTTCAAAAGTATTAAGCCACCAAGGAAGAGTATTGATCTTTCTTTATAAAACTTAATTATAAGAAACCTAAATATTATTAATTATGTTAATTTTTTATATTGAACACTTAATACTTGTATCTTTCCCCAGTTTGCCAGCACTGCCAAATATATGAAGAATACTCCTTATGTTAATGAGGTATCAAGTGATGAAGCTCTCCTGAAAAGATATAGAAAAGAAATAATGGATCTTAAGAAACAGTTAGAGGAGGTATGTATGAACCATGTATTTCAGTAAAGATCAGGGACAGATTGAGAACTAAGATCTGCCCGCATGCCCAGAGATTCTTAATTCATCAGTATCCGAGGTCTGTAACCTCAATTTAAAACATCTTTCAAGGACAGAGAAATCAACTCATAAAAATTTTGGTTTAATTTACTATAAACTGAAAACTTAGATTTCTTGAAATTATTTTAGATTTTGTTTTCATTTCCAAAGGGCAAAATTTGAGATTTTCAAATGAGCCAAGTAGAAACATTCTTTCTAAATTGTCACAAATACATAGGGAATTAGGTTAAAAAGAAAGACCATGTATAGTTACTTAAAACCTTATTTTTTGTATTTTCACAGTATCTTGAATTCTGACCTTAAGATAAAGTCTAATAAAGTAGCATAATCAGTTGTCATTGTAATTTGTTTGTTTTAACCATTGTGGTTTTATATTTCGTAAAAACCTTGTATTTTAGTTATCTTTTTTAAAATAAGTTAAAATTTTAAAAAAGTAAAATACAATCAGCTAAAATATCAAATGGAAGTCTTATGAAAACATCTGTTCTTTTGCCATAGGTATTTAAGTCTCTGCTTTTATGACTTTTCTGCCTATTATTTATATATTTATAGGCAGTTAGTAGAATGGCTTTAACAGCCTTGCTATAATCTTATATATAGTATCTAGAATACACAGGAAGAAATGTGTATTTTACTTTATTATAGGTTTGAGAAATTACTGATTATGGTAACTGCCATAGTAGTAGTATTTTGTAGGAAGGGTATATTTCATTTCAATAAAACCCGATGCAGGGCTCGATCTTACAACACTGAGATCATGACCTTAACTCAAATTAAGAGTCAGACACTTAACTGACTGAGCCACCCAAGAGCTCCCACATACAAATTTAATATTCTATTCTTTTAAGTTACTTTCAAGATTTTAAAATCTAGCTACATTTATTACTAACATAACTTAATATTACATTCTATAGGTTTCTTTAGAGACTCGGGCCCAGGCAATGGAAAAAGACCAGTTGGCCCAACTTCTAGAAGAAAAAGATTTGCTTCAAAAAGTACAGATTGAGAAAATTCAGAACTTAACACGGATGCTGGTAACCTCTTCTTCCCTCACATCACAACAGGAGTTAAAGGTAAAATTTAAAAGATGACAACTCAGACTTGTTATACAAACACTAGGATTGGTATTCCTGTATGTTTATTACATAGTTACACATTTCTTATCCTTTGATATAGTATATTCAGAAAACCCGGAACATTTTGTGTGTTAGCCTATTCATCAGCAAAACCTAAGAAGTTCATTAAATATACTGATCTCTGATCCCTTCTCTAGAGATCCTAATTCAAGAAATCTGAAATACTGACAAGGAATCTATGTAAATATGCTTCTTAAGAAATTCTAATGAAGTTGATCAGGTGATTAAGAACCATCCCTATCTAGGTTGAATAATATTTTCTATTTAAAGAAACAGAAATATTAATCTCAGGAAAATTGATCTAGAATATAGATCAATATAGTGATCACAATTCTGACTTCTAGTATATGTACTTTTTGTTTTTACTAGAGCTGGGGGTATTTTCAGTCCAGTAGGCATTTTTTGACTGATGGTATCATGATTTAAAGGATGGCCTCTGGAGCTTGACTGCCTGGATTTGTAACCTGGTGTTGTCAATTCCTAATTCTTTACCTTAGGCAATTTCTTAAATCCACTTTGCTACAGTTTCCTTATCTATGAGATAGCTTGATTCCCAACTCCTAGGATTGTTATGAGAATTAGGTGAAATAATACATAGAATGTGCTCAACACTACATTTTCCAAATCCTCAATAAATGAATGGTCTAAAGATAATTATTAATAGTATTAATAGACATTATATTCAAGTCACCATTCTAGGTATAAAGAAGACATTCCAAGAGCTATTTGTTGACTAAGTGATGAATAAGAAGCAGCCCAGTGGAACATACAGGGAAGAATATTTCAGGAAGAGATCCACATGTAAAAAAGCTTGGAGTCATAAAAACAATATAATGTATCCCTTAGACTTAAAATGTTTTGGTGGCAGGAGCATTTTTAAATCATAATGAAGGATTTGAACATTGCATTATGCTCAGGGCAAGGAAACGTCTTGTAGGTAACAGGATCACAGTTGTATTTCAGAAAGGTATGGCAGTTTACGTGCATCAGGTTGGTTGGGGCTCTACAAGAACTATGACTCTGGAGATGGAAAAAAATGGGTAAATTAGAGACCTATGTGGAAGGTAGACTCAACAGGACTTCGTGATTATTTACATGTGCGGGGCAGAGAGAGAGAGAACAGTATCCAGAATGATTTGCAAACATTGCTGGGTAGCTGGTAGCAGCAGTCATTGTTAAGGAACACCGAATGAAGAGCAGCGCATCTCTCGGGGTTTTGTTTGGGATATCTCCAGTTTAAGATTTCAGACAATGAAAGATGTGAGGTAGAGATATCAATTTGGATATTAGCTACTGCAGATCTAAGTCAAGTCATGGGAATGGATGGGCTTGTTCTGAGAGCATGTTAGGAGTGAAAAGAAGACCATACCCCAGAACAACTTTTAGATAAAGGTAGAAGAATCCCGAAGGGAGCCAGGATTCGCTCTAGAGTTAAGAAGGAAACAGGGTGAATTGTGGTCACTAAGGGAAGAGAATATTTCAGAGAGGTAGTGGTCAGCGGTGTCCCATTTTACTGAGACGTTAATTAAGATAAATATAGACAATTTTTTGGATTTGGAAACAAAAACTCATTTACAAAGCAATTTGAGTTATGTAGTAGGAGCGAAACCCACCTTACAGAGGGTTGAGATGACCCCAAGTGATGAGATCGTGAACACAGTAGAGGGGACTGATCTCAGAAAAAAAGGATCACTTATAGATCAGCTCACCTATAAAAAGGATGTAGTAATAGGATAGTTAGAAGGATCAAGTAAGAGGAGATAGTACTTATATTTCACAGAGGCTCAGGAGAAGAATGGTAGCTGTGCAATTAGGAAAAACACAAGCAAAGGAGGAGAAACCAGCAAAGCCAAATGAGTGGTGAGGAGTGGTGAGGACAGCTAGCTGGGTGGGATTAGCACCAGGAGACAGAGGTGTTCCTGAAAGGATGCGGAAGGAGTAGACAGATGATGAAGAAAGAGCACAAAAGAGAATCAAAAAGAAACTTGTAGCCAGAGAGAAGTAAGGAGTGAAGAGTTTGTTTTTTAAAAACCAAAAGCAGGGGCGCCTGGGTGGCTCAGTGGATTAAGTCTCTGCCTTCGGCTCAGGTCATGATCTCAGGGTCCTGGGATGGAGTATCAGGCTCTCTGCTCAGCGGGGAGCCTGCTTCCCCCTCTCTCTCTGCCTGCCTCTCTGCCTACTTGTGATCTCTCTCTCTCTGTCAAATAAATAAATAAAATCTTTAAAAAACAACAACAGCAACAACAAAAGCAAACCAACTAGAGCATTCATTCATCAGGCTGTTAGGAGGGAGTTGGTGAGGATAACAGATGAATAGATAACCCAGGGAGCAAGGTCCCCAGGGAGAAAGAACAATGAGGTTAGGAGCACTGAAGGAGGTATTAGTTTTACTTAATTGGAAGAGAACTGGCATTGTGAAGGCTGTGTGGAGATTGACTCACTTAAGAAAGTTCGAGTAGACTGTCTGTCCCTTCCCAGTTAGAGCTGGCCTCCCCAAAGTGCTTTTGGTAGCTATGGTGTGGTGGCAGCAGCTTCCCTGCTAGAGAACACTGGATTACTTGGAAAGTTGTAAGCCTATTCCTTTCCATTAAGTCCCAGAAAAGTTTGTAGGGAAACTTTCAAATAAAACATGAATTTTAAATAATAGTTTCATCAAATATTTTATGGGGTTAAAAACTGATTTTAAAGTTTGTTTTCTTAGGACATCCTTAGACTGGTATGTTATTAAAGTAGGCTTAAAAAGAATTCTACCAAGTCCATGGTTTCCAAAAAATGTAAACTAATTCCCTCATTTCATGATATTTGAGCCCAGATCTGTGTGAGGTAATTTTGATTTTTTTTTTCCTCTTTAGGCTAAAAGAAAACGAAGAGTCACTTGGTGCCTTGGTAAAATTAACAAAATGAAAGACTCAAATTATATAAATGAATTTAATATGTCAACAAATGTAACAAAAACACGTAAGGCTGCTGTAAACGTAGTGGGGGAAATTGATGAATGTGAGTGCTTTTTCAGCTGTTTTTAATTACAAAAGCATCCCTTTAAAGAACTACATTATTTATAACTCAGTTAATGTGATAAACACATTTAATAAATGTATGCATTTTAGATGCAATCACAATGGAGGTAATGATAAATAATAGTGATTTCAAGAAAGTGAACATTCTATATTATTTTCACACTCTTAATAATGATACACTTTAGTTGAAACGTGAGACATTTTGTTGCTGGTTCTAATCATTATCCAATTAAATTAGTATCCATATAACATCTGCCTTAAACTTTGTTTAATCTTGAAAGGGTAGCATTTCACAGGTGTGTTTCAAAATAATGTCTCCAACATCAGCAGTATTTTTAAAGGGCATTTTAAAATCTATTTATAAGGATCAAATCTCAGAGTTAGTATTTGTCCCTGTTACCTATATTTTATCAAGGATCGAATATTTTATTACTAATTCTAACCAGGGATCTTAGTTCATATAATAATATAAATGATCATATATGTTAATGTATTCTTGGCATTCATATTGTGAGCACATTAGCTAATTGGAGCTTAGTATTACCCCTGATCAGATTTTTTTTTTTAGTCTTTGACTTTTAAGAATCTTTATGGATAAATTTCTTTTTCTCCTAATTCTAGCTTTCTGCTCAGAGTCTGATATTTTCAGTAATACTTTTGATACATTAAATGAGACAGAGTGGAATCCAGCAACAAAGCTACTAAGTCAGGTAACTTAAATGTATTTTATAAAACATTATCCTCTTACTCTTTAAAATTCACTTTTTGTTGATGTTTACATTGTTGTAGCACCACATTGCTAGCTCTGACTTAATTTCAGTAACAGTTTTGGTTCTAATTACTCGTTACACTCCTAGTTGATAACTGGCATGTAGAGGAAACTAAAAATTTTGTAATGCAGGTGTATGGTAATAAGTACACCTTTGCATCTAGTTCTTTCCCAGCAGATCTTGGTATCTATGATTTTTTTTTAGTTTCTCTTTTTCTTTAGACAATCCCCTAAGGGTTTTATAAAGTGTCAAAATTCTCAGGTATACAGTAGAATGACACAGCAGGGAGGGGGTAATATTGCCAAATCATACTGAGAAATAAAAGTGGTTTCATCAAAATTTTAGGGAATACTACAGTGAATACTTCAGTAGGTATATAGAGTCCATATTGACTTTCTAGACTACTAATGTCCAAAGAAGTACAGTATAGTTTTATAAATGTATTTGTTAAGAAAATTTCATTTTAGTTTTAGAATAAAATTGCAGTGATTCTTGGGAATTATTATTATCATTACTTAACCATTGTATTAGTTAAAATTAGGTCTTATGGTTAAAGTTAGGTGTTATAACTAAATCTGGTTTTGGTTACAACAGGAAAACTTAGAAAGTGAGCTAAATTCACTTCGTGCCAACTATGATAATCTGGTATTGGACTATGAACAACTAAGACGAGAAAATGAAGAAATGGAATTGAAATTAAAAGAAAAGAATGATTTGGATGAATTTGAGGCCCTTGAAAGAAAAACAGAGAAAGATCAGGAGGTAAGAGATATGGAAACATGAAACTAAAACAACACTTTTAAAAGAAGCATCATTCTCTTAAAGATACTTATTTCTATGCATGATGTATGGAAAATCCAACCATTTTCTATGTGTACACACAATATAGAGAATTTAAGAAGTAATTCATTTATATTATTTTTAAAATATTTAAATCATTTGTTTCACATATGAATTATTTTGCTCAAACGTTAATGTGTTGAGCACACCAGAAATACTGTCTAGAATATAACCATTTCCTGCTGAGACCAATATGAATTTTACTATCTGGCTGAATGTTTTACGCATGGATACTCTGTGTTAATGGATTTCATTTTCTTTAAAAGTATATTCCCGGGGCGCCTGGGTGGCTCAGTGGGTTAAAGCCTCTGCCTTCGGCTCGGGTCATGATCTCAGGGTCCTGGGATCAAGCCCCGAGTTGGGCTCTCTGCTCAGCGGGGAGCCTGCTTCCTCCTCTCTGCCTGCCTCTCTGCCTACTTGTGATCTCTGTCTGTCAAATAAATAAATAAAATCTTAAAAAAAAAATATTTAAAAAAAAGTATATTCCCAAATATTTAGAACATTATTAGAATAGCTGGTAAAGCTGATTTTGATCATGTCTTTTTCCATATCAGAGAGTTATGAAAATTAGTGTAACTAATACTAAATACTAGTAATGAAATTTTTAGAAATGAAACAGATCACTTAAATTTTCTAAATATATAATATTAAGCTACATGTTAAGAGAACCTAATCCAGAAACACTCAGACTTCAGACACTTAGAAATTGCCCGAGAAATTCAAGAGATTTCTTAAGAGCAGACTGTCCTTAACCTAAAGGTCACAGACATTATAAAATTACTCTGCAGAATTTTTAAATGCTTATTCATTACTCTGGAACAAGAATCTATAGCCATTATCAGATGATGAAGCAATCTTTGACTCCCCCTACCCCTCAAAATAAGAGCCAGTGTTCTGGTGTAGTTAAAATATGAGTTAATTTGCAGCTACTTCTGAGATTTCTGTGAGGATAGCCCAAAGGGCCACAATGTTTTTACCTCAGTATTGTTTCATTTCTTACCCTCTTTTTTTTTTTTTTTAAATAAGGAAAAAAGAAGTCAGTGCCAAAAGTATTATTTCCATTCTACCTACAAATTAAAGTTAATCCTGGGAGGCCTGGGTGGCCTCTGCCTTCGGCTTAGGTCATGATCCCAGAGTCCTGGGATCGAGTCCCACATCAGGCTCCTTGCTCAGCAGGGAGCCTGCTTCTCACTCTGCCTGTTCTGCCTGCAGCTCTCTGTGCTCCTGCTCTCTCTCTCTCTCTCTCTCTCTGACAAATAAATAAATAAATAATCTTTTAAAAAAAATAAAATAAAGTTAATCCTGCATTTCATGAGTATGTATCCTAAGATGCAAAGTCTATATGTTCTCCACAGAGTTTCATTTAATTTGTTTTAAAATTTGCATGTTAACAAAATACAAAATGTTGTATATTGACCTGTAGACTTCAGTCAATAAAAATGGAGTTTTTCAAGAAAGAGGGTGGTCTAGTGTCATGGTTAAGAGCATGGTCTCTGGAGCCAAACTTGCTTCTGAATAGGATACAACGCCTTGAGCGAGTCCCAGAATCTCTCAGGACTTACTTCCTTTTTCTCTCCACCCTGGAGGTTGAACCAGGTGCTTACCAAGGCCCTTTCTAACTCCAAATTTCATCTAATTGTATCTTACTTATTATAAATAATAGGTCATAAAATTAACTTTGGGCATAAGTATAGCAATAATTTCTCTAAGTTTTTTACATGATTTATATGTCAATTAATAATAAAACTGAAGCTCATAGAGTATATGACTTGACTCACATCCTGATTTTTTTTTCCTTTTATCCACAGTCAAGGGGGAAAATAATCCTATTCTTTTCATCTTCACTTGGACACAACTAAAATTCTAGGTTCTATATGGTAACCTAAAATATTAAGTAATATAAACTTACTCTTTTGAAAGGTAGTTCTATTCTATTTTAAACTAAAAATACAAGTCTGTGTATGCAGTAAAATATGTTCCCAAACCTCCATTTTGGGGAAAAGCTTAGCCAAAAGAAGTAAAAAATCAAATTATGGCCTTGGGACATGTGGTCATTGCCCTGGTTTGCCCTAATGGTCTTATAAATCACCAGAGCCCTATTTCATTTTCAAATGGGCATATAGGAATACAGTATGTTTAAATAATAATTTTTACAAGGAGGGGTAAACAAAGTCAAGTATTATCAAACTCAGGGAACAAAGGAAATTCCAACCCTCTACCTGATTTAACTTGCTTAATTTTAGAATTTTAACAACTTGGAGGTTTTTGTCTTGAGGTATTAAATATTTTTTTTAATCTGCTGAACATTACAGTTGAAATCTGTAATTTTTTTTATATAGCCACCAACTAACTTTTAATCATATCATATATTTTCTCTTTATGCTTAGCATCCTAAATAATACCTCATTCAGAAGTTGTTGTCCAGGCTTTACAAAAGTTCATCTTTAGATTTAGATTAATGAGAACTAGTACTTAAAGTGCTATTTTAAATGAGAAGTGAGATAAGTTTTCTTTCTAGATGTTTATTTTCTAAAATAAAAGAGTAATTTTGTAGTTCTTCCTTATTGGTAAATGTGATTTTGTTGCACAGAATTTAGAAACAAGAAAAAAAAGATAAAAGATGGAGTTATTTTAAATTATAGCCAACACAAATGTCTAAAATTTTGCGGAACAGTTGATAGCCACTAACCACATGTGACGATTGAGTACTTGAAGTGTGGCCGGTCTGAACTGACTTAAAAATATGAAAAAAAGAGAATGTAAACTATTTAGTTTTTTATATTGATTACATGAATAAGTGGTAATATTTTGGATATATTAGGTTCAAATATATTTTTAAATTAGTTCTATTTTTTTTAATGCAGCCAGTAGGAAATTTTCAATGACTCACATAATATTTCTGGATGATGCTGACCTACAATGGGAATGTTAACACTATTCTGAATCTAAAACTAGTTAGAACTGAATTAAGCATTCAGAAAATATTACTTTAAAAAGATGCTACTTTCATAAATCCCTTACATTCTACAAGAATTTGCCTTTACTTTTTTCTTCTTTTTTAATCGTATTTTATTTAAATTCAGTTAATTAGCATGTAGTATATCATTAGTTTCAGAGGTAGAGTTCAGTGATTCATCAGTTGCATGTAACACCCAGTGCTCATTACATCATGTACCCTCCTTAATGCCCATCATTCTGTCACCCCCATCCCCCACCCACCTTGCCTTTACTTTTTCAGGACTCATCGAATTATGAAGATTTCATAATTCTAAGAGAAAGTATGTTTATCTATGATAAGTTGTCATTTATGTGTTCTGACACAAAAATATGTAGTATTCAAATATTTAATGCTCCAGATATTTGATGGAAAGGAAACTTTAATAGAAATATATGTATCTTTAGGTATTCTTTATACTTTTAGACAGCTGAAAAATATAAAGCAATAACATCATCTTTCCAATATTTTCTGTGGAATGAACCAACAAGGTAATAACTGATAATCTTATACATATCTCTGTGCTTTAGTGAACAGTGATATTATTTTAAAAGCACCACATGAAACTACCCTAATCCAGACCTAAATTTTAAAACATAAATCCTTAAAAAGTATGCCAGTATAAAGCTAAATGGCTAATTTGTGGGAAGAAAACAAAAAAATCTTGTAGAATAAATACATTTCTGCACTTAACTTCCCCAAAACAAAAATTTATTAAGAGTTTTAAAGTTTGATTACCAGTATATCTCCTCCAAGGGATGCATACTAATTTGCTTTTGACATTTTTATAGCATTATTAACAGACAGCATAACTGTTACTTGGGTCATGCTGAGGTTTTTTTCTTGTTTGCTTGTTTTACAAGGTTTGGAGATATTTTTGTTTGACTTACTGGGTTTCTGTATGTTTTGTATCTTCAAATAATGAGGCGCTCTGTAACAGTAGCTTGAACAATTGATCTCTCAATCCCTTCTTACTGTTTTGGTGATTCTGAAGCAGTGAATAAATGCTATCTTTTGGGGGGAGTTTCTTTTTTTCTTCTTTTTTTTTTTTTTTTTGCTTTATTAACTATTGGTTTGCTCTGTTGCCTGTTCACATGCTCTTACAGATGCAACTAATTCATGAAATTTCCAACTTAAAGAATTTAGTTAAGCATGCAGAAGTGTATAATCAAGATCTTGAGGTGAGCATTTATGTTGGTATTTCTATTATAAAGAACTAGAACTATAAAATGTACATCATACATAATTATTTCAGAAAATAAAAGGAACATCTTGTTTTTTAAATATCAACTTTTTAAATTTTACTAACAGTTTAAACTATTAAACATAAGTTCTTTTTAATCTCCTAAAATTTAAATCCAATAAAATATGTTTCACTTTATTTTTGTTTCACACTTATAGAATGAACTAAGCTCAAAAGTAGAGCTGCTTAGAGAAAAGGAAGACCAGATTAAGAAGCTACAGAAATACATAGACTCTCAGAAGTCAGAAGATATGAAAATGGACTTGTCATACTCATCGGTAAGAATTAGGTTTATTTTGTTGTTTAATCATGTAGGCACTTGTAGTACACCATCATCATTGTTATAGCAAATGCTTGTATTGAACTTACTGTGTGCCAGATGTTGTAATTTTTTTACATATAGTATTTTATTTAATCTTGTCAATGACTCTATGAAAGAGGGACTGTTAGTATCATTGCTGTTTTATGGGTAAAGAATCATTCGTACAGAGTTAAGGATATCATTCTTTGAATATTAGTAAGTCGAGGATGAGTTTCCATTAAAAATCAGTAACTCAGGGGCACCTGAGTGGCTCAGTGGGTTGAAGCCTCTGCCTTCAGCTCGGGTCATGATCCCAGGGTCCTGGGATCGAGCCCCACATCGGGCTCTCTGCTTAGTGGGGATCCTGCTTCCCTCTCTCTCTCTGCCTGCCTCTCTGCCTACTTGTGATTTCTGTCTGTCAAATAAATAAACAAAATCTTTAAAAAAAAAAAAAAGTAATTCAAAATTTTTTATTTTTTTAATTGTTTTATATAAATGCGTGCAGAAGTATGTAGTCAGTATATTCAGGTGAACACTTGTATTGGTATTGATAATTAACTAGACCTGTACATATGGCATGTAACTGAGCATGATTTTATAAATTTTATTAATATTAATGCGTTCTTATAATTTAAATAACTATTTTAACAGTTTGGTATTTTTCAGAAACTGTAGTTCTAGATGATTTTAGTTGGTATAAGATACGTCATTGGGGCGCCTGGGTGGCTCAGTTGGTTAAATGACTGCCTTCAGGCTCAGGTCATAATCCCAGGGTCCTGAAATCAAGCCCCCAAATTAGGCTCCCTGCCTCTGCTGCTTTCCTGCTCTCTCTCTGTCAAATAAAATAAAATCTTTAAAAAAAAAAGATTTGGCATTAAGGGTCTCCTGGGTGGCTCAGTAGGTTAAGGGTCTGCCTTCCGCTCAGGTCATGATCCCGGAGTCCCAGAATCAAGCCACATCAGGCTCAGTGGGGAGTCTGCTTCTCCCTCTGCCCTTCACCCCACAGGTATGCTCCTTCTCTCAAATAAACAAATAAAATCTTTAAAAAAAAAAAAAATAATGGCATTAAATAACATTTAATCTCATGGCAAAATTGTTCATTTTTGCTACGTGCTTTCTATTCTATTTGCTTTGATATTCCTGATTACTTCAAGAAAGTATCAGTTTGATCCTAGTTTTTAACACTCTTTTTAAGAAGGCAACAGTTTCTAGCTGAAATTTTGGTTTCTGTCATTCTTTGGTTTCCATTTGAGTTTTTCTGGAGTACTTTTTATTACCTTCTATTAGGACTCTTCGGTTACCTGTTATCAATGACAAACGATCCTTTGTAAAAGTAATCTTACTGTTTTAAGGCACTGGGAAGATAGGCACTTTCCTATCATCCTGGAGTGTCTGTTGATAGAGTGGCAAGCAGAATTGCCCACTTTTTAAAAGTTGTTATTTCTTTCTCTTTATTCATCCAGTTTATTCATTCATTCATTTGTGCATTAATATTCTGCCAAGGATATATGTGGTTGAATTTATGTAAGCTAATTTTCAATTTGTGATTTCATATCCTTAATCTTAACTATGAACTACTCACCTGCCATGTTGTAGAATGACTTAAAACTACACAAGAAATTTTAACAAGCTAGCTGAACAACAATTGTGTTAACCTTTTTTAAACAATAAGTTTTCTCAGTCTACATAATGCCTCTATAACTTGGAAAAGCATAGTCAGAGTTTTTTAAATATTTTTATTATGGAAAATATTATTTCAGCTTTCATAAATAATGAACTTGATAATTAGCATATTTTCACCATTCTTTATTTATTCAGAATAACATCTATGTACATGTTCTCTAAAATCTTTTCCAACTCTCACTAAGTTAGATTTCGCTAAATTCTTTTTGTCGTGTATATAGGAAATCACTGAAGACCTAAGACAAATGAAACAGACTCTGCTTGATGCTGAAACTGTAGCCCTTGATGCCAAGAAAGAGTCAGCCTTTCTTAGAAGTGAAAATCTGGAGCTGAAAGAGAAAATGGTAATTGTTTCCTGTAATATTTATAATAAAACAGTTGTCACAACCAGTACATTTCTGTGAATTTGCAGTGTTTCTCCTAACAGAAAGAACTTACAAGTACATACAAGCAAATGGAAAATGATATTCAGTTATGCCAAAGTCAACTGGAAGCAAAAAAGAAAATGCAAGTTGATCTGGAGAAAGAACTACAATCATCTTTTAATGAAATAACAAAACTCACCTCCCTTGTAGATGGCAAAGTTCCAAAAGGTATTTCATAATTTCAGACTTAATTCTTTGCAGATCTGACTTTGTCTAGAAACCTACCTGAAGGATTTTGTGACTACATTCCAATGATTAGAAATTTTTTATTCTCTTATCTAATTGTTTTAATAGCCTAATAATGAGTTTCAGTATTATTTGAGATCAGTATTTATAACTGCTTCCCTGAAATTCTGATTCATAAGGGTTTAGGAATTATTTTTCAAATAAATTAGACCTGATTTTCAAAAAGTGGTTGAAGAACTATTAACTGTTCACCTGTTAACCAACATTGCCTCTTTCTTTCATAAATTTTATACAGTCTGATTAAATAATCTAACTTTGCATGTAATTTAGATTGTCCCAATAACTGCAGGCTGTTATAATTTACCCAAAATGTCCTAGATTTGCTCTGTAATTTGGAACTGGAAAGAAAGATTACTGACCTCCAGAAAGAACTGAATAAAGAAGTTGAAGAAAATGAAGCTTTGCATAAGGAAGTTAATTTGCTCTCAGCATTGAAATCTTTACCCTCAGAAGTAGAAATGCTGAGGAAAGAGGTAAACACATTTTTAAGCAAATAACTCTTCTTTTGAAATAAAAACCTTTGTAATAGCACTTTAAATATTTTGCTGTAGTATATCTTAAAATAGCAGTCAAGAGACTATAAAGATTTGACTCAACTTGTTAGGAATAGAAATGAATGTAGTTCCTCCTCAAATTTCCTTATATTATTAGAAAGCACATTTTCAAAGCCTATTTAACAGTATGCTTAGTGACCTGATCAACGTAACAACCATTTCTACAGTCCTCAAATGTTTCACTTAAATAGAATTCTAGGCGGACCTGGGTGGCTCAGTTGGTTGAGCATGTGACTCTTGATTTCAGCTCAGGTTGTGATCTCGGGGTCGTGGGATCCAGCCCCACAGTAGCAGTCTTCTTATCCCTCTCCCTGTGCTCCCCCACTATGTCACTCACTGTCTGAAATAAATTAAAAAAAAAAAAATTTTTTTTTTAAGCAAGGTTTTATGGGGGCATCTAGCTGCTCAGTTAGTAGAGAGTATGAACTCTTGATCTCAGGGTTGTAAGTTCAAGCCCCACATTGGGTGGAGAGATGATTTAAAAATAAAATCTTTGAACAGAATTCTATGGTCCATACTTTTTTTCATCTTTTTTTTTGGTACTAATTCTGTCACTATGTTGAATAAAAAAGAGCAATGAGATATAAAGGAGGGAATTGATAAAGTTTAGGGGTAAATCTTGCAGTGTAAATCTTGCAGGCTAGTGAACAGTCCTGTAAACCATCTGCCAAGCTTTCTTTTCTCTTTACCTTTCTAAAAGAAATAAAACTGACAAGTGGTTGAAGACCAAATGGCAGATATCATGCTAAAGAACTCTAGGAACATTAATTAGTCATTCTAAAAACTCTTTAAAGTAGGTGCTGTTTTTTAGCTCAGCAAGTAGTTATGAAGCCAATAGTTGAGCCAAACAGAAGTGTCTCCTATCCTGAGTCCATGATTGAAACAACCCTGCTCTGTTACCCCTGTCCTTAGTCTCTGCTTTAAGTTTGCTTCTCTTCTTCCCACCAATTCTACTTTACCATTAACAATGATTGTACTGTTCATAAGCTGGATATGGTTTATTTAAATAATAATTCAAATAAACCTTAATTATTTAAATCATTCAGGGATTACATTTTTAGAAATTGGAGCTGCATTCAAAGGCTTTAAAAAAAATTTTCAAATTCTAAGAAAAAAAACAAAAAATGATACACCAAGAAGTTAGAAAATACTTTAGAATGATAGATAAGGAAATAAAGGCACATCCTGAAATAATGTTTTTCTACTGAGTATCCTTCTCCATGTAATCCTTACTAGAACCCAAAGAGATTAGAAAACAAAACTGAAGGTAAAGTCAAAGAGGATAATATACAGGGATGGTAACAATAAAAATGTTGCCTTTAGGGGCACCTGACTGGCTCAGTGGGTTAAGCCGCTGCCTTCGGCTCAGGTCATTATCTCAGGGTCCTGGGATCGAGCCCCATGTCGGGCTCTCTGCTCAGCAGGGAGCCTGCTTCCCCCTCTCTCTCTACCTGCTTGTCTGCCTACTTGTGATCTCTGTCAAATAAATAAAATCTTAAAAAAAAAAAAAATGTTGCCTTTACTTAGTAAAATCTTTGCTTAATTTCAATGTCTTCCCCTCCCCCAACCCCAAGGAAACTTTTTTTCCCCTGAAAGCTGCTTCAGTAGATCCTACAATGCTAACATAGCTAAATTTTACTTCTTTTCCATAGATGCATGATAAATCTGAAGAACTTTGTATAATGACATCAGAAAGAGACAAATTGTTTTCTGAAGTAGTTCAAAAGGAAAGTAGAATTCAAGACTTACTTGAAGAAATTGGGAAAACTAAAAATGACCTAGCAACTACCCGGTTGAATTATGAAAGCACTGATCAAGAATTCCAAGATTTTAAAAATCATCATATTGAATTTGAGCAAAAGTATAAGATGGTCCTTGATGAGAATGCAAGAATGAATCAGGAAATAGGAAATCTCTCCAAACAAGCTCAAAAACTTGGTTTAAGTTTGGATGCTTTGAACACAGAGGTTGGTACAAGACATCCTAGGGAAGCAGTCTTTAGCCTTCTGAGATTTGGCTTCCATATATATACACCACAGAATGCTCTGCTTTTCACATTTACTTTTTTTTTTATTTTAAAGCTTCCTCCCAAATCTGAAGAACTTCAGCCGAAAACAACTGAGAGTCAAAAAAGTTCAAATGAAGTGGAAGAGCTGAAGGAACAATTAGAAAATAGAGATTTGAGGCTGCAAACTATGGAAAAGGAAAAAACAATGATCGCTGAGCAACTTCAACAAACTTTAGCAGAAGTAAGAACCTTAACCCAAGAAAAGGAGGACCTAAAACAACTCCAGGAGAGCCTGAACATTGAGAGGGACCAACTCAAAAGTGACATTCAGGATACTGTAAACATGGTAAGGCTTTGACTGAGTAAACTCTGAAAACTCAGAGCCTCTTTACAAACAGTACCAGAGCCATCACTCATGATTAATGATCAAGTAGTCACTATACAATTACTTCCACTATTTCACATTATTCTAATGGAAATTGTTTTATTTCTCTGACAAAGAATATAGATACCCAAGAACAATTAAGAAATGCTCTTGAGTCTTTGAAACAACACCAAGAAACAATTAACATGCTAAAAATGAAAATTTCTGAAGAAACTTCCAGGAGTTTGCATATAGAGGAGAACCTAGGAGAAACTAAGGATGAATTCCAGGAAAAGGTAAATGGTGTTTCCATTCAAAGTTTTATATATGTGTAGATGAGCTTTCTCTTCTACCTCAAACACTTAAGTACATGCTGATAATTGCAATCTTGTTTATTATTCATAATGCTATTAACTAACAATACTTTATAAGCTGTAACCCTAATGTCTTTAAGATAATTTCAGATATAATTGCTTAAAATCAATTTGAAAAAAAAGGCAAAAATTAATTCAAACTTTGAGCTGATATTTTCTGAGGCCTGACATATTTTAAATGTCTTTAAAAACCCCTCTGAATTCTAAGAATATAAGAGAGATTATTAATTATTAACCATGTCTAAAATATTTGTTTTATGTCAGATTTTACATATTAAACTTGCTTAGAGATCCCTATAAAATCAATGTGTATATTTTATTTATGCCTGTTTTCTAGGGTTTATGCCATAATTTTACTATCAGGTTTTTAAATCTCACTTTAATTTATTCTAAGTAGTATGGTTTATTTTGTTCTGAGATCTTAGGAGAATAAGGTCTTAGCTGGTTATTTAATTATGTACAAGAAAGGCTACGAGAGGCTAGTGATTTTTTTTTTTTTTTTTTTTAAGATATGTGTTAGTCCAATAGGGCAGCCATCACAAAATATCACAGACTGCTGACTAAAACAACAGAAATTTACTTTCTCCTGGTTGTGGAGGCTAGAAGTCCAAGATTAAGGTGCTAGAAAATTGAGTTTCCGTTAAGTCTTCTCTTCACTGCATACAGATAGCACTTTCCTTCTGTGTTCTCACAGAACCTTTCTCCTATGCTCAAGTTGAGAAGGATCACTGGTGTTTCTTCCTCTACTTAAAAGGACACCAGTCCCGGGGTGCCTGGGTGCCTCAGTCAGTTGGGCGACTGATTCTTGATTTCAGGTCAGGTCTTGATCTCAGTGTTGTGAATTTGAGCCCCATGTCTGGCTCTGCACTGGGCATGGAGCTGAATGAATGAATGAATGGATACCAATCCTATGGTATTAGGGCTCCAGTTTTATGACCCCATTTAATTACCTTAATTACCCACCTTAAAGGATTTCTCTTCACATATAGTCACATAGGGTTTAGGACTTCAGCATTAATATTGGGAGGACAAAATTCAGTCTGTAACAGATAATTGCCTATAATTTCATCCAATGGATTCGTTTACTATATACATTTCTGTTTTTCAAAAATGCCTTTGATATATATTATCAACAAGATATTTTATACTGTCTTTCAATTTTATGCACTTAATGCTATTTAATCCAAAATATTTGCTACTAGGAATTTAAAACATCCATCAGTGGGAGACTGGTGAAATAATCTTTCATACATCCATAGCTTGGAATTGCATATGTATCTATAATATGTATCTATGTATATAGATAATGCAACTGGGTTTATACAGTCATAAAATTTTTTAAAACTGCGTATTACATGCAAACAGAAAAATCACCAGGATGGACATTTTATTAAATAAAAACAAATACTGCTTCAGAATAATTCAGTAAGCTCCAACTTATATAAATAAATCTCTTTACAGATTTATATGTTATTACCTTATATAATGAGCTTTTTTCCCACATTTGCCCGGGGTACAGTATTCTTGCCTTGGAAAAGCTTTTTCTCTCTCTCCCTATGCTTTAGTACTTCTCTCCTAGAAAAGCATTTTCACTTGTTTTATATGTTTTATGTTCTTAGCTTATCTATAGTTTGGATCAATCAAATAAGCCAAAGGCATTTGACTTTGATTTAAAATTTATAACTTTCACTTTCATTGAGGGCAGGTTTTTTAAAAGATTTTTGAAAGTAAGATACAACAATTAATAGCTGCTTTTAAACAAATGCAAAAATGCAGTCGTAGGGCCTCATGAGAAGGGGTGTAATAGCAGAAGAGTAAGGGAAAAGAAGAGTTCTATTCACTGGGACCAGCTAGTGTGTGGTATTAAGTTTATGTTAGAAGCATCTATGTCGATAAAAAATGTCCAACAGGCTTTTTTGTTTCCCAGGGGTTTCTCAAATCTGGGATGGAAGGCTGGGGTCAGCTTGGTCTTCTGTTACTATGTTAATGATGGAATCCCACATGGACCCCTCTGTTCATCTGGGCCCCACAGGGCTGCATTAGTAGGTCTCTCATAAATCCCCTAAAAGTGCCCACATTGAATCCTTGATGTTTCTCTCTCTAGAAAGGCAGTTTCTCTAGTGTCTTGCAACAGTAAGTTTAAACAATGATTAGTAAGCTTATCTCATGTAAAGGACACAATTCTTTTTTTTATTTATTTAATAATAAAATCTGTTAGATTTTCTCATGGTAACTGAAATACTTTCTAGGCTGAGTTTAGTTCTAAAATATCCTTTGGGTATTCTCACATACTTTGTCTCAGCCTGCTTTATCTTTGTGTACAGTCCTATATTTAGGAGCACAGATGTAAGATTCTGAAGTACAGTATCTGACAAACTCGTCCCAATGACCGTATGTTCCTTACATTAAGTTCTAATGTATTAGATCTGTGTTTGCCATTGTTAGAAACTCAAGCATACTGCCAGTAGTAAGAGATAGTAAAATAAAGTATGATTTGTCCAAACCCATTCTAGAGAATTGAGCAACTACTCAAAATTATAATTTGAAGATTAGGTAACAGCATGGGAAAATGTATGTGCTCTAAGTGGAAAAAGCAAAATTGAATATTTTATATATATATATATATACATATATATATATATATATATTAATTACTGTATTCAAAAGAAATTTTTCAAGGACAGACTCTGAAAGGAAATATTCTAGAATTCCATTAGTGGGTTGTGTAAAGCTGGTATGTTGGATGATTTTTTTTTCTCTTTACTTTTCAGTTTTTTTCCAATGTAATTGTAGATTATTATAAAAACTTTTTTTAAAAGATTTTATTTATTGGAGAAAGAGAGAGAACGTGGGGAGGGGCAGAGGGAGAGGAAAAGAGAATCTCAAGCAGACCCCACTGAATGTGGTGCCTGACACATAACTCAAGCCAAAATCAAGAGTCGGATGCTTAACTGACTGAGCCACCCAGGTACCCCATTATTAAAATTTTTTAAAACATATTTAAAACTTCATAAAATACAGCCAATATGGAGCTGTATTTATTTCCTGGGTGTGTAAGGTTACATAGTGATAACCTAATTTCACACCAATTATTTTAATGTCAGTCTTTGTCTCACTTGATCAAGAAGTATATGTGTTAGGTTACCTTTGCTTAAGACTTATTTATGGATAAATTAATTTATATAACGTGCTTTTTTTTAAGCAGAACATAAAAAGTATGTATTTTTAAAAGGTGGATTATACTACTATAATATGAAATCTATTTTTATCAAAGTTATTTTGCTCTCTCATATGATAAAACTCCAACCTTTTGTGAATATGACTGCTTCTGAAAATAATGATTTGTTGTGAGTGGGGTGATAGAGAATCATTTCCAGCTTTTGATGGAAAGAACATGGTGGAGTTCAAGGTGGCTTACTCTTTCTTTTTTTTTTTGTTAAAGATTTTATTTATTTGACAGATAGAGAGAGATCACAAGTAGACAGAGAGGCAGGCAGAGAGAAAGGGGGAAGCAGGCTCCCCACCAAGCAGAGAGCCCAATGCGGGACTCGATCCCAGGACCCTGAGATCATGACCCGAGCCAAAGGCAGATGCTCAATCCACTGAGCCACCCAGGCGCCCCTGGCTTACTCTTTCTTAAAATTAGGTTGACCCATCATCATATATGAAGATAATTGTTAATTATCTACAGCTGTTCAGGTAGTTCTTAACCCATGAAAAAGAATACACTTAAGGACACAAACTCTGGAGCCAGACCTCTTGGCTTCAAATCCTGAGTGACCTTGGGCAAATGACCTATCATCCTCTCTCAGGTTCATGTTCCACATCTGTTGAATGGAAATAATACTCGTACCTACCTCATAAGGTTAGAGTGAAGAGTAAATGTGTCAATAAATGAAAAGAATGCCTGGTAAATATAAGTAATGTAAGTTTTGGCAAATTTCATTACTATTAAAATTGTAATTAACTGAGAAATTCTTTATTTACATTTTAGGTGGTTGACACAAATAAAAAACAGAATTTGAAAGCTAAAAATACTCAAGCACTGATTGTGAGTGTTGAAGATAATGAGCTAACTGAGCAACAGAGAAAGATGTTTTCTTTAATACAGGAGAAAAATGAACTGCAACAAATGTTAGAGAGTATTACAGCAGAAAAGGAACAATTACAGACTGACCTAAGGGAAAATATTGAAATGGTAGGGTTTAGCACTGTATACTTAGCAATATATTCTTGTCTTGTATGTTGTGGATTTTTACAACTTTATTGAGGCATAATTTACATGTGAGAAATGTATCTGATGCAAGTGTACAGTCTGATGACTTTTGACAAATGTCTCTATTTGTGTACCCTCCACCCCAGTCAAGGTGTAGAGCATTTACCTCTCCCTTCAGAGCTTTCTTGCGCCTTGACCCCTGCAATTCTGATCTCACTCTCTACCCCATATAGTCAATGTCCTGATATTTTTTAACCGTAGGACACTTTGTCTCTTCTAGAACTCCATACAAATAGAATCATACAACATGTACTCTTTTGTACCTTACTTTTTTTACACTCCTTTTTATTGCTAGGTAGTGTTCCATGTATGAATAGGCCACAAGTTGTTTAGCCTTTCTCCTGTTGATGGAAATTTGAGTTCTGTCCACTGTTTGGCTATTTTGAGTGAAGCTGCTGTAAACATTCTTACACAAAACTTTTTATGAACATTTCTTTTTAAAAGTTCTCAAGTGTATCTAAATGGAATAGCAGGGTCATAGCAAATTACTAGACTGATTTCCAAAGTAGTTGTGCCATTTTACATTCCCAGCAGCAAATTAAGAGAATTCTTATGATTTCACATCCTCACCAATGCTTCATATTATTGGTGTTTTCAATGTTAGCCATCCTATTGGGTATATACCTCATTGTTTTCATTTGCCTTTCCCTAACGATTAAGGATATTGATCATCTTTTCATATGCTTATTGGCTATTGCATATCTTTCTATAAATTATCTGTTCTCTCAGTGATGTGTTGTGGATTTTAGTGTACATGTCTTTATCCACGTTTTGTTAAATTTATCCCTAAGTGTTTCTCTTCATTTATTCTGTTGTAATTTTTAAACTTCGTTGTTAATTATTCATTGTTAATGTTTGCCATATTGTCAAATCTACTTTAGTTTTTGATTCCGTATTTAGAGGCAATATAGTATGTATAGATTGAAATTGACATTTTTTGAAGTTTGCTGTGGATTACAGGAGAACCTGAACTTTTGTGTATTTTTCCATATTTCTTGGGGTTTTCTGGTCAAAAGAGCTAAGTTTAAAGAAGAATACAGACAAAAGTCATAGTCTGTTCTTGGTCTCATGTTTGCAGTGTTTTTGTGGTCATGACTTGAGACTGCACTGTTTAAGCTGATAACTAGGGTTAGCCTACATCATGCTAGCAAAAGATAGCTGCCATTTTGAGCTTGCTGTTAACTGGTGCTCTAAATCGTAACTATTCTGGCATATGAAGAGCCCATAACTAGTCTTGTCATCAGTCCATGAAAGTTAGAAACAGTCTCCTTTGGCTTCAGGGTAGAAAATGGGCAAACCTCTCAAGATAAAATACTAAATCCAGTTCTAATTTTCATGATAGGAATGTAAGTGAAGTAATAATGAAACAGCATAAAAAGCAGTTGTTTGGCATCTATATGATTAAATTAAAGACTCTTTAAGATAATCTTTTCCAATAGAATTTGCCATGATTTCTTCATTTTTAGGCTGAGGTAAATGCTGATTTTCACCTGATTTATAAATGTAAGGTAATATGTATCTTAATCTCAACTTTTTTTAAATTCTAGACTATTGAAAACCAAGAAGAATTAAGAATTCTTAGAGATGAACTTAAAAAGCAGCAAGAGCTTGTCGTACAAGAAAAGAACCACACCATAAAGAAAGAGGAAGAGATTTCTAGGACCTGTAAGAAATTAGTAGAAGTTGAAGAAAAGCTAAAGGAAAAGGTGAATTTTTAAGTTACCTTCCTAACCATATTATATTTCCTGACTAAACTTTTTTTTTTTTAAACACATTTTGATTGCTCTAGAGCTAAATTCTAAAAATAGCATGTATCTCCCAAATGAACACATCTTAATGCTAATATTGTGGACAGTTTCAACTCATACCTATATTCAAACCAACATTTTTTTTTTCTTTTTTTTTATTAACATATAATGTATTATTTGCTTCATGGATACGGGTCTGTGAATCATCAGTCTTACACAATTTACAGCATTCACCATAGCACATACCCTCCCCAATGTCCACGACCCAGCCACCCTATCCCTCCCCCTATCCCCCAGGAACCCTCAGTTTGTCTCCTGAGATTAAGAGTCTCTTATGGTTTGTCTCCCTCCCAATCCCATCTTGTTTCATTTTTTCCCTCTCTACCTCCCATGACCCCCTGCCCTGCCTCTCAAATATCAGAGATCATATGGTAATTGTCTTTCTCTGATTAACTTATTTTGCTCAGCATAAAAGCCTCTAGTTCCATGCATGTCATTGCAAATGGCAAGATTTTGATTTTTTGATGGCTACATAGTATTCGTGTGTGTGTGTGTGTGTATACCACATCTTCTTCATCCATTCATCTGTTGATGGACATCTAGGTTCTTTCCATAGTTTGGCTATTGTGGACATTGCTGCTATAAACATTCGGGTCCACGTGCCCCTTCGGATCACTACGTTTGTATCTTTAGGGTAAATACCCAGTAGTGCAATTGCTGGGTCATAGGGTAGCTCTATTTTCAACTTCTTGAGGAGCTTCCATACTGCTTTCCACAGTGGCTGCACCAGCTTGCATTCCCACCAACAGGTTCCCCTTTCTCTGCATCCTCGCTAGCATCTGTCATTTCCTGACTTGTTAATTTTAGCCATTCTGACTGGTGTGAGGTGGTATCTCACTGTGGTTTTGATTTGTATTTCCCTGATGCCGAGTGATGTTGAGCACTTTTTCATGAGTCTGTTGGCCATCTGGATGTCTTCTTTGCAGAAATGTCTGTTCATGTCCTCTGCCCATTTCTTGATTGCATTATTTGTTCTTTGGGTGTTGAGTTTGATAAGTTCTTTACAGCTTTTGGATACTAGCCCTTTATCCGATATGTCATTTGCAAATGTCTTCTCCCATTCTGTCAGTTGTCTTTTGTTAACCAACACTGTTTGTGAGGATTATATTATTCTCGTCTTCAGATGAGAGAGGCCTTGATTCATTTAAATTATCATATAATATATTCATTCATCAGAAACTTTTTGGAGACCACCATAGCCTAGATGCTGTTCTGGGTGCTTGAGATCCATTAGTCAATAACACAAAGATCCTGCTTTATTAAGATATAGTAGTGATTCTTTAAAATGTAAGCTTTATGACTGTTACCATCTCTTAGACGTTTATAGTTTCCTGACTCATTTCTTTTATGGAAGTAAGGTGCTGTTGTAGTATTTGTATAAGAGCTAAGACTCTTGTAATAATTGTACCGCCCATGTAATTCTAAAATGTACCACTAAGACTTTCTATTTACTCTAAGGACAGTGCCACATGCATTATAAATGATATATTATGATTTCCACTGCACTTCTGTGGAGTGTTTTTCTCCTAGTAAGTATTCTCTTACTTCTCCTCCATTTCACTATAACCTAACTAAATTTACTAAAACCTGATGTCTGTTTTATACTCATTCTAAAGAAGTTAAATTAATAGGCTTGTAAATTTAATGCCTCAGTAATGAGCACTAGGTATTATATAAGACTGATGAATCACTGACCTCTACCTCTGAAACTAATAATAAATACATTATATGTTAGTTGAATTTAAAAAATATAAAGAGATAGACTTATTCATATTTATTAACTTAAAAAAAGTTAATGCCTCACTAAAATTAACAACTCAGGAAACAACACGTGTTGGTGAGGATGCAGAGAAAGGGGAACCCTCTTACACCTCTTGGTGGAAATGCAAACTGGTACAGCCACTCTGTAAAACAGTATGGAGGTTCCTCAAAAAGTTATAAATAGAGCTACCCTACAATCCAGCAATAGAATTACCGGGTATTTATCCAAAGGATCCAAACAGATTCAAAGGGGCATATTCACTCCAATATTTATAGCAACAATGTCCATAATACCCACAATATAGAAAGAGCCCAGATGTCCATTGACAGACAAATGGATAAAGAAGATGTGATGGTATATATATTTATAATGGAATATGACTCAGCCATCAAAAAGAATGAAATCTTGCTATATGCAATGATGTGGATGGAGATCATTATACTAAGCAAAAGAAGTCAGAGAAAGACAAATACCATATGATTTCACTCATGGGTGGAATTTAAGAAACAAAACAGATTAACATAGGGGAAGGGAAGGAAAAATAAAATAAGACAAAAACAGGGAGGCAAACCATAAATTCTCAACTATAGGAAACAAACTGAGGGTTGCAGGAGGGGAGGAGGGTGGGAGGATGGGGTAACTGGGTGATGGGCATTAAGGAGGAGACTTGAAGTAAGCAGCACTGGGTGTTAATATGCAACTGATAAATCACTAAATTCTACCTCTGAAACTAATACACTATATGTTAATTAAATTGAATTTAAATAAGTTTAAAAAAATTAGTGTCTCAGTGGTTTTTTGAGCTACCCCATAAGGACCTTATTAGAAGTAAAAAATAGATTATCCAAAAATTTTTAAGAGATGAGGAATTATAGTTATTTGTCAACTATACCTTTATATTTAATTAGTCTCTTTTTGTTTTTCTCATTTTCACTTTGCCTCCTTGATTAACCTACTGACACCGTATTTGTTTCCTGGACCCTCTTTATCAAATTACCATAAACTTGGTGGCCTAAAGAACAACAAATTTATTGTCAGATGTCTGGATCCTAGAGGTCCAAAATCAAGTTGCTGGCAATACTATGCTCCCTCTGAAGGCTCTAGGGAAGAATCTCTCCTTGCGTCTAATAACTGTCCTTCACTCCCAGCTGCCCTTGGTGTCCTGGGCTTTTAGCTTTATCACTCTTATCTCTGCCTCATCTTCACAGGACTTTCTCTGTGTCTCTGTGTGTCCTTTTTGTCTCTAATAAGGACATTCTGCATTTAGGGCCCACCCTAATCCAGTAGGATTTCTTCTCAACCCTTAATTAATTACATCTGCAAAAAACTGTACTTTCAAGTAAGGTGATATTCTGAAGTTCTGAATCGACTTGAATTTTGGGTAGGACACTATTCAGCCCACTACTGTTACTATGCTTGGAAGGATACTTTACTTTTAAAGCTGCTTGTCTATATATATTGGGAGTATAGCCAGGGCTGTGATATTGATTATTTCAGTTCAGCAAAGTATATTTCACATGAGATTTTAAGAGTACATAGGGAAATTGATAATTAAAAGTTTTATTTCTTGGGGCACCTGGGTGGCTCAGTGGGTTAAAGCCTCTGCCTTCAGCTTGGGTCATGATCCCAGGGTCCTGGGATCGAGCCCCGCATCGGGCTCTCTGCTCGGCGGGGTGCCTGCTTCCCTTCCTCTCTCTCTGCCTACCTCTCTGCCTACTTGTGATCTCTGTCAAATAAATAAATATCTTTTTTAAAATAAATAAATAAATAAAAATTTTATTTCTTAAGAGCCAACAACTACAAGAAAAACAGGTACAACTTCTTAGTGTACAAGAAGAAATGAATGAGATGCAGGAAAAGATGAATGAAATGGAGAATTTGAAGAATGAATTAAGAAACCAAGAATTAACATTGGAACGTATAGAAATGGAGAGGCTAGAGTTGGCTCAGAAGCTCCATGAAAATTATGAGGAAATGAAATCCATAACCAAAGAAAGAAATGATCTAAAGGAATTACAAGAATCATTTGAAATAGAGAGAGAAAAACTTAAAGGATACATAAGAGAAATCGAAGCTACAGTAAGTTATTACCCTTTTCTTTCATCTATTGAATGTTTCTTTAAAACGGAGCCAGTTGAAACAGGGGGAGGCAGTGTTAAGATGATGTGGTTGAAATATTCATTAAATATCACTTCCTACTAAGGGTCTAGAAACAAAAGAAGAATTAAAAATTGCCCACGTACATCTTAAAGAACAACAAGAAACTATTGACGAGCTAAGAAAAAATATTTCTGAGAAGGCAGCTCAAATAATAAATATTCAGAAGCGTTTAGAAAAATCCAATACTGAATTACAAGAAAAGGTTTGTCTCTTCTTCTCTCATTTGTCCCTTCTTCTTTCCTTTTTTCTTTGAAGGAAAGATGAGCAATAAGTAGTGACTATGTTAATAGTACATTCATTTATTGGATACTATTTGTTGAGTGTATAATGTGGCAGGCAGAGTCCTGGGTTATAGAAATAAAATGGGAACAAGGTGAACAAAATTTCTATGATTATAGAGCTTACTCTAGTAGAAAGAGGTAACTAGTAAATTAGCAAACAAATGAATAAGATAATTTAACATAATGGCAAGTCCTGTAGAGGAAATAAAACATTGGGATAACTGAACCAACTTATTTTAAAGGCTGCTGTGTGCCAGCCATTGAAACTACGGATATGAATAAGACATTGTTCTCTCCACACACACACCACCCCCCTCAGTATGGGCATATAAAATAATCCCTCAGTTTGAGTAGGACAAATGCAGAAATATGATATGCAAAGTTACATGGAACCACAAATGACCATAGGAAAGAAGAATTAATCTGTAAACAAAAAAATTGACACATAGCATTGGAGCTCATCTGAGAATTAGGGACCATTATTTATTGAGCTATAATCTGCTCAGTGATTATTTCTCTCCTGTGGCATTTGGGAACTAGTATAGAAATGAAGAAGTGTGCAACTGACAGAATTAACAGTGTGTTAGTCAAGTATAAGAATTGATTCACTTTGGATGTAAGCTGGAGCAAAAGAAAATTATGGCAGAATATGACCAGCAGAAAAGTCATAAATAGCTTCAGTAGGAATCAAGAGAAAATTAATAAGTTGGAGTTCATGATCCACAGTAGGCTATGGTTTCAGGATCACTTTTATTTCTGTGGATAATATCCTCATCTTTTCCCTTTAAAAAATTATGATAATATGGCAGCAGTCTTTCTGGCCATGGGTCCTGTCCCCCTACTTTAATAAAATCACCTTTTTGCACACACACAAAAAATTATGATAATAATCTCTAGATAGTAACCTTGGTATTTTATGCATATCACAAGATCCCAGTGCTTCCTGGGGAGCAGGAGCTACTGCGTAATGTAAAAGAAGTCAGTGATACTCAGGGAACAATGGATGAAGTGGAGCTGTTGGAAAAGCAGTCCAAAACCAAGGAGTCAGTGACACCGGCGTGCACAGAAATAGAAAGGATCGAGTTGACTGTAAAACTTCCAGAAAGTCATGAAGAAACAAAATCTCTGACTGAGGAAAGAGACAACCTTCAAATGATAAAAGAAGCGGTTCAGGTTGGACAAGATCAGCGGCAAGAAGACGTTAGAGAAACGTTGGCTAAAGTAAGTTTCATCCTTTCCTTCCATTTAATAAGTGTTTTATGAGAATCAATCTTGGGGAAAGGAAGCCCTTGTGTTATAGTTACAGTGTTATGATCATGTTTTCTTTAAATGTCTCTTGATTATGAAGTGATTGGAAACAGAACTAAAATTATAAATACTAAAAAACTGCTGAAATTGAGAGAAAACATTTCAGAAAAGACAGCAGTCTTCTTTTTCTTTTAAGATTTTATTTATTTATTTGACAGAGAGAGATCATAAGTAGGCAGGCAGGCAGAGAGAGAGGGGGGGTAGCAGGCTCCCTGCCGAGCAGAGAGCCCAATGCGGGGCTCAATCCCAGGACCCTGGGATCATGACCTGAGCTGAAGGCAGAGGCTTTAACCCACTGAGCCACCCAGGCGCCCCGACAGCAGTCTTCTTAAATACTTCAAAATGATTTAGAAAAACCAATGCCAAATTACAGGAAAGGATAAAGCCAGAAAAACCATGTTTTTCCCTTCTTTAAATCTATTCCTACAGCATCTCATAAGGCACTTCCTCAAGCTGAGAATCACCCTTCCTTCCCAGTATCCTTTCCTCGCACTCATTCTATAATCCAGGCACCAAACCTTGTTGATTTTAAGGTGTGTATGTGTGTCTGGGTGTATGTGTGTATGTGTGTGTGTGAAATCTTCCACCTTTTCTCCCCACATTGCCAACACCTTAATCCAAGCCATCATTATTTCTGTCCCTGGCTTTCTGCAGTAGCCTTCTTATTGGTCTACCCATGTTCATTCCTGTACTTCTGTAATTCATTCACCATTCTGAACCCAAGCAATATTTTCTTCTTAAAACCCTTTAATAGTCTATCACTACTCTTGAACTAAAGACTAGAATTCTTCACATGGCCTCTGAGGCCCTGGGTCCCATTCCTAGCTGGTCTCCAGCCTTATTTCTGCTCACTCTTAGCCCCGCTCATGATACTCCAGCTTATGCTTCCTCATCTCGTGGCTTCCAGATGTTCTGGTCTCACCGCCTGCAGCATTTCCCTCCGCCCACACCTAATTAATACTCTCACCCTTTAGTTCTCAACTGAAGATTTCCATCCCCCAGGAAGGCATCCTAACCACTCAGGGTAAATTAGGTTTACCACATACCCTGCAGGAACCCAGAAACTCCTTTGGTAAGATTTGGCATAATGTCTCTTTCCCTCTGAAGTGCAAGTCTCAAAAAGGCGAAGATCATGTAAGTCTCTTTTACCATTGTATCTCCAGCCTCTAATAGGATAGTAACAACACAGTGAGCCCTCAGGAAATAACTGCTCATACCTGAGTAATGATGAGTGGGAGAGTGAAAAGAATGCTCTGTAATGAGCCACTGAATCCTGACTTAATCATTTTAGAAAAGCCCTGATTTCTTTTCCCCCAGACTAAAAGATCTTTGGCTGTCAACACTATTGTTTTTAGGATTCACTTAAGATTCAGGATCCTCAAGACAAACAAGATCAGTCCTTCAATGTGAAAGAAAAGGACAAGGAGGCTGAGGAAATCCTGAGTGAGCAGGAGCTACCGCAAGAGCAGCTCGAAGCCGGAGAGGCGGCACTGCCACAAGCAGGCGTGGAAAGGCTCGAGATAGCGGAGGGGCTGCGAGAAGTTCTTCAGTCTGAAACTCACCAACTCAAAGAAAACATGCGAGAAATGACAGCTAGGGTAAGTTTCATCCTTTCCCCCATGTGCTTTTTTTTGTAAATTATTTTATAAGCAGGTATTTTTGTAAAAATTAAACCTTTGGGAAAAGGAGTTAGAGTATGATGGTTATAATGTTTCTATAAATTTCTCAATAATTTCCTCTAATAATAAAGCACCTAGAAACCAAAGAGGAACTGAAAGTTGCTTGTTGTCACCTGAAAGAACAGGAGGAAACTATTGATAAGCTGAGAATGAATCTTTCCGAGAGGGAAACTGAACTCTCCAGCCTTCGAAAGGAATTAGAAACAACTAATAATGAATTACAGAAAAAGGTAAATTGGGGATGAAGGGCATGTAGGAAAAAACCTGAGGGAACTAGTTAACTGAACTACAGAAACTAATTTCGCATGCTAGATTGTTATGCAGAACATTCTGGGTGTTTTTCCTTTAGAAACAAAAACAGATATGGGACTCCTGGGTGACTCAGACTGTTAAGCATCTGCCTTCAGCTCAGATCATGATCTTGGGGTCTTGGGATCAGGCCCCACATTCAACAGGAAGCCTGCTTCTCCCTCTATCTCTAGCTCTTTCCCCCCATCCTCTTGCTCTCTGTCAAATAAATAAAATCTCTTAAAAAAAAAAAAAAGGAAAACAGATCTGTATATATACACACACATACAAATATATAAATACACACATTTTACATTTATGTATATTTTGGCTGTTAATTTATTATTATTTTAAGATCCAAGAGCTTCATGAGAAACAGGAACAATTTATTAGCACCAAAGAAATCACTGAGATGCAGGAAAAAATGAGTGAACTGGAGCAATTAAAGGAGCAACTCAAAGTCAAAGATTCATCATTACAAAATGTAGAAAGTGAGAGGCTCAAGTTGACTGAGAAACTTCAGGAAAGTCAAGATAAAATAAAAATTATAATTAAGGAAAGAGATGAACTGAAAAGGGTGCAGGAGATTCTTCAGATGGAGAGAGACCAACTCAAAGAAAACATTAAAGAAGCTGTAGCTGAAGTAAGTGTCCTTCTTCTAACTTTTTTTAGGTACAAAAATAATGCTAAGGTAGTTAACAGTGATATTCAGTGTTATTAACTTTTATTCAATCAGAAAGGGACTGAAAATCAAAAAGGAACTAAAAACTACTTATGTTCTTTTGAAGGAGTACCAACAAACCATTAGTATGAGGAATATTTCAGAGAAGACAGACCAAAAAGCAAATATTGAGAGAGATGCAGAAAATTCAGGTGCTGAATCACAGGAAAAGGTAGGGTCTTATTTTGTTAAGTTGGAAAATGACATCTGATTATTATGTTGCTCATTTCCCTGTGGAAGAAAACAGTATGTACATTAGATAAAATGTAAAGATGACTGACTTAATTTAGAAGCAATTCCTCTTTTTCCTACAAATTTCTGCCTGCGTCCTAACTTGTTTTATTTTCTCAGATTCCAGAACTTCAGGAAAAAGAACATCAGCTTCTTATGATGAAAGCTGTCAGTGAGACTCAGGAAAAAATATGTGACGTGGAATACTTCAAGAACAAGTTTGAGGCCCAAAAATCAATTCTGGAAAATACAGAAATGGAGAATGTAAGGTTAACTCAGAGACTTCATGAAAACCTTGAAGAAATGAGATCTGTTATCAAAGAAAGAGATGATCTTAGGAATATAGAGGAGACTCTCAAAGTAGAGAGAGACCAGCTCGAGGAAAACTTGAGAGAAACTGTAATTAGAGTAAGTTACCCTCTTCCCCCCATCCCGTAAATATGATTTTGTGTCCTAAAAGAACCATGGGTGATAGGGCTGGTGGGAATGTAAAACTGATCCAAACTTGGGGAAGGTTGGAGGGGGATATTTGGTACTATCTTTCAAATATTTCGATAAGTTTATTCATTGACCCCAAAAGTCCAGTCATAGCTATTTATCTTGTACACATTAACACAAATTGTGCAAAGATACCTGTAGAAGGATATCCATTGCAAAAAATAGTAATAATAAAACAAAGCAAACAAAAAAATAGGAAAAATGCTTAATGTCCATTAGCAGAGGACTGGTTAATTAAGTGCCACACATTCAGACCATAGAATACTAGGCCACCAGTAAAGAAAGGTAGTACCATGGTGCTGATTTGGAAATATCCTATTAAGGAAAAGGGTAAATTGTGGAGTAATATATCTAGCATGTAATGACATTTAAGATGAACTTAGAGGATGAGTCCTAATGGAGGCGGGGGGCATAATTACCTCTTATCTTCTCACTGTTTAAATTTTGTTACTCTGAATATATCATTTTCCTCTTTCTAATGTTAAAGGAGCTGGAAAAACAAGAGGAACTAAGAATTGCTTATATGCATGTGAAAGAGCACCAGGAAACTATTGATAAACTCAAGGGCCTTGTTTCTGAGAAGACAGGTGAAATATCAAATATGCAAGTGGATTTAGAAAACTCAAATGCTGCCTTAAAAGCACAGGTATTTTATTTTTTAATTTGAGAGTTTGAATTAGGTCCTCTGTGTAATGAAACAGGATATGAATTATCCTAAAATTAAAGGCAAAGATGAGCCTTCTTAATTTCAAAACGGTTATTTGGCATTTTTTTCAATATCTATCTATATCTTTATTTTATGATTATCTCAAGATCCAAGAGCTTCAGGAGAAGGAACATCAACTTCTGAAGGTAAAAAATGATCTCAGAGAAAATATGGATCAAACAGAGCAATTGAAGAAGCAATTAGAGACCCAGAGTTCAACCCTGGAAAGTGTAGAAACCGAGAAGTTAAGGTTAAGTCTGAAACTTCACGAAAACCTTGAAGAAATAAAATGTGTCACTGAGGAAAGAGATGGCCTCAGAAGCGCGGAGGGAACCCTTAGGATGGAGAGAGACCAGCTCAGGGAAAGCCTCAGAGAAAAAGAAACTAAAGTAAGTCACTCTTCCTATACTAGTGAGTAAATGTGATGTTTTCCTGACAGCAATGAGCCTTTCTTTGACGTAAGTGACGGTGTTGGTGTGAGTGAACTGATAACAAAATTTCAGGCGGGTAATTTGGTATTGTTCTAAAAATATCAAATTCTGTAAACAGTATTTTTTTTTGTAGATTTCATCCTACATGTATATTTATATACTACACAAACACACATACACCACAGGTTGTTCATTGTAGCAATTTGTAATAAAAAGTGGGAAACAATATAAATGTCCATAAGAAGGAAACTGTAAATATGATATATCAGAATACTAGGCAACACATTAAAAAAAAAAAAAAAAAGAAAGAAAGCAAGAAATAAATTTGAATGTCCTGATTTGGAAGCCCAAATCACTCAGAGGGAAAAGCAAATTTTGAATAGTATATAGATCACGTGTTCGCCTCTCAAAAGTAGAAGTAGGTTGTGGGGAGGTGAGGACTGGGAAAGGGAGACAGGAAAATCTTATAACTTCCTAAACTTATTCTTAACTTATCCTTATCCTTAACTTATTCTACAACAAAGATGTAGACTAAAAAGTAATAGTTTTATTATTTATACTAAGGAAATATATCACTTTCAGAAAAAAAAAATGCTAGTTAATATTAAGCTGTGTCACCATTCTTAAAATTTCTCTAATGATAAAGGACCTGGAAAAACAAGAGGAACTAAGAATCGCTTACATGCATCTGAAACAGCACCAGGAAACTATTGATAAGCTCAGAGGCCTTGTTTCTGAGAAGACAGATGAAATATCAAATATGCAGTTGGATTTAGAAAATTCACATGCCAAATTACAAGAAAAGGTATGGAGAATGTGCTTGTTTGGATATTTGATTTATTTGTGCCCAAAGTCCTTTGGGGATGTAAAACTGTTTAGCCACGTTGGAAAACATCTTGGGAGTTTTTACTAGCGCTGAACATATACCTCCCTGTGGCTCAGCATTTCTGTTCCTGAGTGTACATAAGAGGAAACAATGCATACTTCCACATAAAGTTATGTACAAGAATGCTCATAACAGTTTTATAATCATAATGGCAAAAAAATGGAAGACAAGTGAAATGTCTGTCAATAGGAGAATGGATGAGTACATTGTGATTTTAAGTTCCAAAGCAGGCAAGACTCATCTAGGATGCAAAAATTTCAGAATAGTGGTGAGCTCTAGGAGGGGTGCACACAGGAACTTTGTGGAGTGCTAGACAGTTTTTAAATTTTAGTCTGGGTTATAATTATATAGATGTATACCATACGTCAAGAATAATTAAACTTTACACTTAAGATTAATGTGCTTATATATATTATACCTCAAGAGTGCCTGGGTGGCTCAGTCAGTTAAATGTCTACCTTTGTCTCAGGTCATGATCCCTGGGTCCCAGGACTGAGTCCCACATCGGGCTCCCTGCTCAGCAGGGAGTCTACTTCTCCCTCTGCCCCTCATCCTGCTTGTATTCTCTCCTCTCTCTCAAATAAATAAATAAATGAAAGTCTTTAAAAAATTTATACCTCAAAGGAAAATAAATTTTGTGTAAAATTATGCAGAATATTAATGAGCAACATAGGAAAACTATTGTCTTAATTTAAAAACTATTTTTTATTCTTTCCTTAAAAACTATCTGTATCCTAACACATTATTTTATGATTATCTTAAGATTCAACAACTTAAGGCAAATGAACATCAACTTTTTAAGTTAAAAGAAGATGTCAGTGAATCACAGAAAAAAATGTCTGAAATGGAGCGATTGAAGAAACAATTTAAGACCCAAAGTTTAACTCTGGATAAAATAGAAATGGAGAACTTAAATTTGGCTCAGAAGCTTCACGAAAACCTTGAAGAAATGAAATCTGTAATAAAAGAAAGAGATAATCTGAAATTGGAGAGAGACCAGCTCCAGGCAAACCTACAGGAAACAATAAGTAGAGTGAGTTGTGTGTGCTCTTTATATCTATCCAGTATATGTGGTTTTTTTTTCTTTTTTGTTTTTTTTTTTTTCCAGTATATGTGATTTTAATGCCAGAAGCTTCCTTCTTATAATACTGTTGGTGAAAATTTAAATGTTATAATCTTTTAGGGAGACATTTTGACACTGCCTTATTAAAGATTTGTCAGCATATATATCTGCTACAGTGATTCTATCTGTAGTAATTTATCCTACCAACATATTCACACATTTGGGCAAAAATACAACATTTATTGCAACATTATTAGTGCTGACAGAAATCTAGAAATATCCACTAATAAGGCACTGGCTAAGTGGGGTCTATTTGTCTAATGGGTTACTAAGCATGAGAATGGGCCCTTTTTATGTGTTAGTGATTTAGAATGATGTCCTAGTGGTATGAGAGAGAAGAAAGCAGTGGCAGAATGCACCAGGCAGCCCAACCAGGATGGAGGAGGCTAGGGAAAGGGGTTTTAGTTTGTATCCTTCTGGATACAATTCTAATCTGGGGGTGGTGTGCTTATTGTTTTTAATTATGAGCATGCACTTTTTAAGATTTTGTTTAACTAGTTCATCACTAAGGAAAGGTAATGTGCCTTGATATAATGATATTTCTCAATTTCTTCTAATAAAGGATTTGGAGACACAACAAAAACTAAAAATTGCTCATATGCATTTGAAGGAACACCAAGAAACTATTGATAAATTCAGAGAAAGAGTTTCAGAAAAGACAACTCAGATTTCAAATATTCAAAAGGATTTAAATAAATCTAAAGATGAGTTACAGAAAAAGGTATGTGTTGTTTTGTTCTTTGGGGTATAACTGTCTAAAACCATTTGTGGAATGAGATAAGATATAGATACAGATATATAGATAGAGACATAGATGTACATGTATAACCAGTAAACACTATTTTCCTTCCTTGAAGGAATTCTATTTGCATTCTAACTTGTTTTATAATTATCTCAAGATACAAGAACTTCAGAAAAAAGAGCTTCAACTTCTTAAAATGAAAGAAGATGTCAATAAAACTCATAAAATTATAAACAAACTGGAACATTTGAAGCAGCAATTTGAGGCCCAAAATTTATCTATGCAAAGTGTGGAAATGGATAACTTATACTTGACTAAGAAACTTCATAAAAGCCTTGAAGAAATAAGAATTTTAGCTAAGGAAAGAGATGAGCTAAGGAAGATAAAAGAGTCTCTCAAAATGGAAAGAGACCAATTCAGAGAAATCTTAAGAGAAATGATAGCTAGAGTGAGTTCAGAATCTTCCCTTATTTAGTAACTGTTTATAAGGATCAAGCTTTTTTGGAAAGGAGAATAATTTGGTTTTATTGTTGTGGGGTTTTGGGGTTTGTTTTGTTTTGGGGGGACTTGTGGGGTTTTTTTTTTTTTCTTTTTGGAAATTTCTACTAACAATAAAGAATAATGGGGAAACTATAATTTTTCACACAAATAGAAGATTATACTGTTTTAAAAGAAGCCAAAATATTTTTCAGGAAATATCATTTAAATTATTTACTTTTAAGAAAAGATTTGTTGGGGTGCCTGGGTGGCTCAGTGGGTTAAAGCCTCTGCCTTAGGCTCAGGTCATGATCTCAGGGCTCTCTGCTCGGCGGGGAGCCTGCTTCCTCCTCTCTCTCTCTCTCTGCCTACTTTGATCTCTGTCTGTCAAATAAATAAATAAAAATCTTTAAAAAAAAAAAAGAAAGAAAGAAAGAAAAAGAAAAAAAAAAGATTTGTTACATAATGCAGACTATTTTCTTTAATGTAATTTTTAAAAGGGTTTTTTAAACCAGGAAATGGCATTATCCTCAATAGGAAAAGATATGAAGGACTAGATTTGTAAAACAATAAGTGCCCATTTCTCTCCCTCCACAGGACAGAATTTTAGGCATGCGGCCTTCTCAGTAAAGTTGGAGGGAGGAGGCCAGACACACAGAGGAAGGAAGTTGAGCCAGTGTGACTGTCTTAACATATTTACAATCACATCTTAAAAAACTCAGCTGAATCCTCTAGAAAATAACATAAATTTCAGATAAAAAGGAAATTGTATAAAATCTATAAAACTCTTTTTTTTATTCTCATAATTCAACAAGAATAGAAGACTGTGTCATTTGCAGTATTATCAATAGAAACATGGACACTTGGGAACCATCCTTATGAGGACCCTAACTAAATTTGTAAAGAATAAAAAAAATTCAACAAATATTTATTAAACAGTCATTCTTCTAAGTAGTGTAGTGAATAAATGGGAGAAAAGGTTTTATTTTATACTTCTAATCAGAAGTACAAAATGTAACAGGATATGCATTTTGTGTTCCAAGGTACTGGGAAGAGTATGAATAGAGATATTTCAGGTGGTTTTGCTAATTTATTATTTGGCACCAATTCTAGAGACTAATTCTAATTCAGAGACTTGGAATTGCAAGAATCAGGTATAAATCTAATATCTAGTTTTCAACTCTGATGGTTACAGGAATAAATCCCACCTCAAAAAATATGTGGTTCTTCCACATTTTTTCTCAATGAGTTGAGGCCACTCACTACAATACTTAGTAGTAGTGTTATTCATTTTCTAGACATTTTTAACTTTGTTTTTGAGTTATAAGTTTATAATTCCATTATTGAAATGATGGGGAAAAATGTAATTAGAAAAACATACAGACATTATATGTGGATGTAGTTATAGTTGAAGCTTGTTTATTTCTTTGTACCAATACAGGACCAACAGAACCATAAAGAGCTAGTAAAATATGAAAAACAGTTACAATGTAATGAAAAACACTACCTCACAGAAAGCCTGAGAGAAAAGTGCTCTAGGATAAAAGTAAGTGCCTTATGTTAAAATTACAAATGAACATTAGTATTCTTCTAAAGGCCTAAATGAAATCCAAGGAACATCTGTGGAATGAATAGAAAGTGCTCAGTGTTTTTTTAAACTTTATGATCTAGTGTAGGTGTGCATGTGTGTGCATATGTGCATACATTAACACACAAAACAGTGAGGGGTTATGATTTTAAGGCCCTACTGGAAAGGTGGTATTTGAGCAAATATCTAAAAGAGGTAAAGGATTAAGACTTAAAGCTGCCTGGGGGAAGAATAGGATGAGAAGAAAAAATAGGGCTTACAAAGCTCTTGAGGCAGAAGCCTGCCTGATGAGTTCACGGAGCATTAAGAAGGGAGAAAGCTGATAAGAAATGAGGTCAGAGAGCTCATGGGGAAGATGCAAGCTGTGGGGCCTCGAAATATCTTCGGGTTTTACTCTGAGTAAGATGGAGACCTTTTGGAGGGTTTTGACCATGAGAGAGACGTGATCTGACTTACATTTTAAAGGGATGACTCTGATTGTTGTGTTGAAAATGGACAAAGTGGAAGCAGGAGGAATATTTGAGAGACTAAGTTCAATAATCCAGACCAAGATGATGGTGGCTCAGCCTAAAGAGGTATCAGTGGAAGCAGTGGGAAGTACTTGGATTCTGAATATATGCTGAGGGAAAAGGCCAACACAACTAACTGTCACTCCTCTCTGAATGCAAGATTCCTAAAGAATTTTTGTGTGTGTTTATGTCACTTAGCACATTCCTATCAGAATATGTATTAAAGGTACAAATGAAGTAATAAAAAGTAATATGTATTTTTTAAAAGTATTAAAAAATATGTATTAGAAAGTAAAAAAGTAGTATGTATTGAAAGTACAAATCAAGGACTACACAGTGCTGTTCCATATCATAATGTGATTCATACTAAGACCAAAGGCAGGAATCCCCTTTCCAACATCCCAGATAAATGAACACCTAGCTTTTCCTTAAGTTATTGAACAGGAAGGTCATTATTGTCAACAGCCCCTTATTCCATATTTAGCACCCTGAATTAAATGTGTTATTTATTATATGACTAACAATTTGAACTACTGTGTTCCTCCACTTATACTTTGACTGGTGTGTCCTCTGCGTGGCCTCTATTCATTTGAGCTCAGAGGCCAGACTTTTTGAGTGTCTACCATATGCACTAATACCAGGTGCTTTTACCTCATGAGATGATCTTTATTGCTCCATTTACAAATAAACTGAAGCTTTGAGAGGAAGTTTAGTAGTTGCCTAAGCTCACATGGCCGACCTTCGAAAGGTCATCTTTGAAATCAGGATTTGAAATCAGGTATAAGTTTAAAACTTAAATATGGAAACAAATAAATAAATTTTACAAATAAAATTTAATTTCCTTTAAGTCATAATGTCTATATACAATTTATAGATTACAAATAGATACAGATATCCTATAACATTTACTTTCCCCCAGAAAACTTTGTGACAATCACCATAATCTTCATTTTGTAGCTAGGAAACTGGCTCAATGATTTCCCTAGTCAGGAAGTAGCAGAGATAGAACCTGAACTCTAACTCTGATAAAAAGTTAGAAAACTCAGATTCTAGGCAGATAAATAGAAATGTGTAAAGAGGCTACACCAAGCTGGCAAATAGCTAGTGTGAGTCTTTGTGAGCCAGCCTTCAATCTTGAACTATAATACATACTAGATTGAATTCACTCAAATTTATCTTCACTCTTTGTAGATGGTCATTTGAATCACAAGTACTCAAAAAACTTAAGAAAATGTATCAAAATGATAACAGTGGTTGTTTCTGGTTTTCTTTGTTTTGTTTAAATTTTTTTAATTTCACAGTAATTAAATATTATTTCTATAATTCAAAATCAACAATAAGACTTTTTTTTTTTTTTTTAAACACAAAGGTCTTTATTTCTGTACTACAGAAAATGTTAAAGCATAAGTTTTGTTACAATTCTAGGGCAAGGATCATAGGGAAAGAGAGGAAAAAAAACAAACAAGATGAAACCAGAGAGGGAGACAAATCATAAGAGACTTAATCTTAGGAAACAAACTGATGGTTGCTGGAGGGGAGATGGCTGGGTGGATGGGGTAATTGGGTGATGGACATTGGGGAAGATACGTGTTATCATGAGCACAGGGTATTATATAAGACAGATGAATCACAGACCTGTACCCCTGAACCAAATAATACATTATATGTTAACTAACTGAATTTACATTAAAGACATTAATTTAAAAATGAAAAAGAAAAACAATTCTAGGGCAAGGACTATTCGTTGTTAAGTTAGGATGAATTGTTAAACTGAATGATTTCTAATTTTCCTTAGGAGCTTCTGAAGAGATACTCAGAGATGTATAATCATTATGAGTGCTTAAATAGACTATCCCTTGACTTGGAGAAAGAAGTTGAAACCCAAAAAGAGCTTTCAGCTAGAGTAAAAGCAAACCTCTCACTTCCATATCCACAAATCAAACAAATTCAAAAACTTCTCACCGCAAACCAAAGATGTTCAATGGAATTCCACAGAGTCATGAAGAAACTTCAGGTACCATCTTTTTTAGTAATATCTTTGTAAATATTGCTATAAATTTTAGTTTTAACATCAGTGTATTTAAGTCCTATGTCCTACTTTGGGAGTTGGCATATTTGCTATTTAGTATATTTACTGCTTAATTAATGTGCATCTCAGAATAGTATATATAAGACCCACTGTGCCTCTAGGACCTGTTCATTCAACAAAACTTGAGCTCTACCTGTGAGCCTAGAAACCATCATGGTGCTCCAGATACAGATAGGAATAACGTCTCAGGTATATCTTACTCTAGCACATGAGGCAAACATATAAGGAGCCAGTAAATGTGATAGAACCACATGCAGGTTGTGTGACATATCAGATAAAGAGTTACAGAAAAGGAGATTGCAGGAGAAGCTGGAGTCCGTAGTAATGCTTAGAGTTCATTTTGCCGATGATGGGAGCCACTGGGCAGATATTTTTAAGTGGTAGCGGTAGCATGACCAGATTACCATTTTAGCTACTGCACCATACAAAAGCAATGAATTTGTGGCAGAGAGAAGAGACAAGAGGCAGTGATAGTGGTCCAGATGAGATATTTTAGGTGACCATATTACTAGGAAAGGATTCATAGGCACAGGAAGGATAAAAGAAATTAAATACTCAGCAGCTTAAAATAGTAGGTTCACGTGATGGAGAGTGGAGGTAAGGCTGGAGATGCTTAGATTGAGTGCCGGGATTTGAGCATGGCCAGGTTTGTGGAGAGTGGTTACCATTAACTGACAAAGAGAAAAGAAAAAGGAGCAAGGCAGGCAAGGCAGGAAAACGATCAGGTGTTTAGTTTGAGATGTTTTGAGGTAGAAATGATGGAGCCATGATGGAGCATTCAAGAAGAGAAACAAGTAGGCACTTAGTTGTGAGTCTGAGGTTTGTCAGGAGACAAGTCAGGACTAGAGATAAAGGTTTGGAATTCATCAGCATATAGATGCTAGATAATACACATGTGAGTAAGGTCACCCAGAAAGTGTAGTAGAAAAATAAGAGCCTTGGGATAAGATGAGAACTCTGGAAAAGATAAATTTTCAAGAGGCAGTAGCAGAAAAGAGAGCAAAAAATGGATTTGAGGTTGGAAATGGCAGAGAAGGAGAAAATCAAGCAAAAGTGGTGTTGCTCAAGTCAGTGGAGGACAGCATATCACAGATGAAGTGCTCAAGAGTGGCAGATACTGGGGCGCTTGGATGGCTCAGTCGATTAAGCAACTGCCTTTGGCTCAGGTCATGATCCCTGGATCCTGAGATTGAGCCCCACATCGGGCTCCCCACTCAGCGGAGAACCTGCTTCTCCCTCTCCCTCTGCCTGCCACTCTGCCTACTTGTGCTCATTTTCTATCTAAGTAAATAGATAAATCTTTAAAAAAAAAAAAAAAAAAGAGTGACATATTTCAAACAGCCAGCATATGAATTGGAACCATGCCCTCCGTTTGTTGATAATAGAGCTTATTGTTGACCTTTGTCAGAACACTTTTAATTGAGTGGTTAGGGAAGAGCCAGATTCTAAGAGGTTAAGGAGTGGTGGAAATTGAGGAGGTAGGGAGTTCCTGTCTGTCTTTTCTAGGTAGATTGCCTCTCAGGCCCTGATATTCTTCCACAAATAACTGGCAATCAGATATCCAGAATTTATCCAGGAGGTCCATGGAACATATGCCATTCAAATTATTGTCACCTTGAGGCCAAACATCTAACTACATGTGAGAAGTACATCTTGAGGCTGGTATACCCACTTTGGTTACCCAACCAAGGGAGGCAGGAGAGGATGTTGAAAATGAATCTCAGGTATCTAGCTGGGATACCTACGTGATTGGTGATAAAATTAACCAAAAAGTTAGCAGAAGGGAAAGGTGAGTTTATAGGGAAAGAGATTATGTTACATTTTAACAGTGAATCTGAGGTAATTGTAGGACATCCATGAGATGTAGCCAGTAGGGAATCCGAAATAAGGAACATGAAGTCTAGAAGTTATTCTCTCAAGATACTGGGAAAAGAAAACTGGGGCTAGAGAGAGGCTTTTTCCTTCTTCCTCACTTACCAGAGGATATAGATAAACAAGAGATGCCATCCCTCTTTGTCTTGAGGGTTTAAACTTTCCTCTAAATGTGATAAAAGGTTCATTTCCCAAATTGTTTTTTACAAGTATGTGTTAAGCCATGTTACAAAGATAAAGGAAGAACAACATGAATCCATCAATAATTTTGAAGAGGTTTTTATTGATGAAATGGAAAAGCAAAATGAATTGCTAATTAAAATACAGCAGCTTCAACAAGATTATGATGTACCATCCAGAGAATTAACGGACCTCAAGTTGAGCCAGAATATGGATTTACATATTGAGGTATTATTTGTTTTAAATGGTTTCATTAGTTTTTAACCCTTTTTATCATATAGAGAAGGTAACTTTGCATGCGCTTAGAACCATTTTCATTTTTCGGAAATTAAAAATACGTTGCAGGGTGACAACTGGCCAGATGTAAAGAGTACGAGGACTCCACAGACACAGAAAAATGGATTTAGTCCCAACAAGGGGGAATTCATAGAACCCCATAATAAGTTTCCAAATGCTTTCTAAAATGGCCTAGATCCGTGGCTGGGAGTCAGGAACAATGTTATTACAACTTGTCATGGAGTATCCTTTCTCTCCCCCAGCAATGTGAGGCTGGCATCCAGTTCCAACATGCGTGGAAGGCCTGGTGCACAGAAAAGCTACATGCAGAAGCCCTGCATATGTATGAGTAGTAGTCACAGATAGTTTTGGTGGTTTTTAATTCCAGCAGGAAGAATTTGTAGACATTCCTTACATAGCTTATAGTGCCAGATTTTTATTATTCAAATAACTAGAACAAAAGTTTAAATTAGAATTATGTTTATTTCAATATACTCATAATATTAAGATGAGAGTTCAGTAAGGTATTTTCCCCTTTTCCTGATATTTGTATGATATTTAGATAAAAACTCTTAATGTACAGATGACTCAATACTTATTTTTCAAACAGGAAATTCTCAAAGATCTTTCAGAAAATGACTTCCACTGCATAAAGACTAAATTTCAGCAAGTGCTGAGTAATAGGAAAGAAATGACCCAGTTTTTGGAAGAATGGTTGAATACTCATTTTGATATAGAAAAGCTTAAAAATGGCATCCAGAAAGAAAATGATAAGATTTGTCAAGTGAATAACTTCTATAATAATAAAATAATTGTAAGTAGTGATTTTTGTTTGTGTGGCTACCTCATTCTTTTTATTGTTTGCTCTAATTTGTCTACCTTTTTCTTAAAAAAGACTTAGAAGAGCAACTTAATCTTAGGTATACTTCTTTAATTTATTTGTATATACTTTATTTTTTGTTTGAAAAAAATGGGTAAACATGTTCTTCCTCTAACATGTTATATATGCTTCCTTATTAAGATAATTAAAAATAACCACTTACACTTGTAAAGAAGATAAAATCTTGGGGTGTAATAATCAATTTCCACTTAGGGAATCTTGAATGCTCTTCCCTTTCTCACTTCTCACTGCCTCTGGAGGAATTGAGCTTTCCCCCAAGTAGTCTCAGACAGAGTGAGACTTGAACCTCTTTCAGAGCTACGGGCAGCAGCTGTGGCCGTGCCAGAGACAAGTCTGTGCAGCGACGTCACGGAGATGTGCTTTTCATTTTGGTGGTATCACTGCCTTATGCCCTGATCCTTCAGCTCTGAGGTTCAGAGATGTGGTGTATATCTTTGTTCCCAAAGCGACTGGCTCTAGTGTACAGATTCACAAGAACCAATATGGCTTAAGACCAGCTTGTTAATTTGTGTTACTTTCTACCAATCAGAATATTCATTCTGCTCTCAAGTAATCCCTATCTCATATACCTGGTAAAATATGCAATAGTCAGAAAGTTACTTGTTGTATATGTGGCTGGAGCGAAGGGAGCTAGATTAATATTAAAACCTCTAAAATTGGTTTTACATTTCATATGTTTGGGTAGATCTTGTTTGACACTTTAATTTCATCTGAAAACTATACTTAAATCACACTGAAATATAGATAATGTTTTTAAAATATGCTTTCCTGTGAAGTGTGTAAACCTGGCGATTCACAGACCTCTACCCCTGGGGATAAAAATATACTATATGTTTATTAAAAATAATTAAAAAATAAATTTACTTTAAAAATAAATAAATAAATAAATAAATAAAATATGCTTTCCTGTGGATATTCCCGTTTGTTGAATACCTCAAGCTACCAAAACAGTAAATGACCTAATTCCCAAAAAAAAAAGTTCACAGCAGAGGAAAAGCATAAAAACCCATATTTGAATAAGATAATCCCCATAAAATTTTTAGTGCTTTTCTTGTAATATTGAGGACCTACTTGTGAATAGAAGGTGGGATTTCTACCATCTGAATGAGCATAGAGATGTAGCTTCTTCTAGCACCATGAATGTAGGAATTGATAACTTTATTGGTATGAAGCCAGTAGTCCAGAACAAAGACGAGTCCAGTATCCCAGCAAGAACACAACTAATTTAGCATCCAAGTCTGATAGAAGTGTCTTAAAGATATAGATAAAACCAATAAGGCATTAATGATGAGAACAAAAAGTATATCCCATAAGAATTAGGAAATAAAAAGATAATATGAATAATTTCAGAGTTAGCCTTCAGTGTAAAGGAAGGCAGTGATTGTTATTCCATGAACAGAAATACAAGATTTTCCGATTAATTACCAAAGGTCAGTGAATTCTTTCCCCTCTAAACACTGAGGTTTAAAATGAAACAGGAAAATAGATTGCTCTTAAGTTTACTGGATGTACTCTGCTATTATTTGTCAGTTAAAGTTCATACATGACATCATAAATGTCATAACATAATGACTTTAACCAACACAGTTCTGCAGATTTCTGCTTCATATGTTAGCACTGATCCAATAAAGTGAGATTTAATCATCTTGCAAATCCATACAAATCCTCTCCAGTCCTTATTCTTCTTTTATTCTCATCATCAACATCCAACGCCTTCTGAAATTCCAGGAACTGAGGCAAACCACAAATGGTCACATTCTTATAAAGTACGGTTCTAGGATGTTCTAAATAATGAATTTCAGCATATGCCTTGTCCTAGAATTCTAGTAGTTTTCATAGTGTTTTTTATATGTAATTCATTTTAGAGTTATAATGGTGTTTTACTATTTAATAGGCTATAATGAATGAATCTACAGAGTTTGAGGAAAGAAATGCTGCTATAGCCAGAGAATGGGAACATGACCTGAAATCAGTGAAAGAGAAAAATGAACAACTATTCAAAAACTACCAAACTTTGAAGATGTCTCTACCATCTGGTATCCTTGTTCATTCTGCTACAGAGGACAATAAGCATCTTCATGTTACAGCAAGAGCCACACAACTAACTGCAGAGGTGTGTGATTTCTTATGTTTTTCAATTTGCAATTTGATTAGTTAAAGCTATATTTTATATAACATTTCAGAGCAAAATTATAGTATCAAATATATTAGACAACATGGACCATGTTTGTGTATGTGATGGGTTTCCTTTTTAAATTGAATTCTATTGTGGCTAATCACTCAAATAACTACAGAGCTATGTATATTATATGACATCTTCCCTTTGAATTATAAAACAGAAGTAACTCATAGCTTAATTTGATTGAGAGGTATATATACCTCTCAAAGTGCCATTACTGTACATTATAAATTGCTTCAATCATGTAACTTTTTATTGAACTATAATCTGTGTCTATTGATAGAACTAGCTTAGAGGGAAAGGGCAATTCAGGTTTTATCTAATTATCATCAAAGCCTTAATATTGGTTAATGTTACATCAAAATTAAAATGGAAGAGTCTAAAAATATAACGGATGTCTTAGTGCAGATTTACCTGGATCTAAGAATCAATACATTATTTGAATGATTCAGTTATTTTATTAACTAGCCTTACTTGGAAATCTCTGAAGCAAACATGCTATTTTATTTTGTTAGCTCACAAAATGACTTAGTGAAGAACCCAAAAGTAAATTGTAATTTACCATTTTTACCAAAATAAATACTTAAAATATCAGCCACTAGTTTAATGATCAATTACCAGTGGAAACTAGAAGATCACTAGTATAGTTTATTGATTTGCTCATTCCTGCAGACCTCAGTAGCTAGTAGAGTCAAAAATAGCAGAAATATTAACCCCATCTACCAAAGCAATAAAGAAGCTGAAGGAAATTCCACCTTCAGTAATCCCAGGAAATACCCTATCAGATAATTATTATATGCTATTACTTTGGTAATTATGACAAATTACAGTATCATAGAATAGTTTGGTAATGATACAGAAATAGACAAATAGAGCAGTGGACCCAAGTAGAGAGTTTAGCAGCATATGTACTCAGGGAGGAGAATTCAGTGTTTGATAATGGCAGCAGCCTACTCGGTGGGGAAAAGATGATTTAATTAATGTTTGATTCTGACAACCAGCTAGCCACCTGGGAAGAAATAAATCTGGGTTTCTACCTCACTCAAACAAAAATAAATTCTGGATGGGGCAAGAAGAAACAGATATTTTCTAGAAAATCCTGTATATGTGTGTATGTAGGTGAACAATCTTATAAATATGGACAAATTCAGGTATTTAAATTCAGGTGTTTTTTACTTGTAAAAAACTGGAAATAACCTAGATATTCGTTGGCAGTTGATGGGTTAACTAATTTATAGTACCTCTAAGAAACAGGATGTATGTATCCATGAAAACAAAAACGTGGAGAGATCTGTATGTGTTGGTAATGGAAATACATTGTCAGGTTGAAAAAAAACCAAAACTATATATTCAGTATGTTCCTCCTGTATGTATGACTGACCATTTTTATAACTATATATTCACAAATGCTCAGATAGACATAGAAAATTTTTGGAAGGATACACTTGAAAGAGTTCAGTAGTGGTTGCTGTTGGGTCAGCTAGGGTTCTGAGACAGGGAAACTTACCCTTCATTACATGCCTTCGAATTTTTCCATATACCTGTATTTTTGAATTTTCAAACTAGGTAATAAAAATAAAGGAAAAGATATGTTATATGCATTACTTAGAGAGTCAGTTAACGAGTGTATTTCCTTTAAGTGGTGTTAATTTAAAATGTGTGTTTAATATGCTTAGCACAATACTAACCAGTAAATAAAATAACACTAAACCTTATAATATAAAATTTGGGTCTTTTTAATCCAAGAATCATCAGCTTCTAAATAAAGAAAATAACACTTGTATAAATTGAGTGACATTTGGTTTCTCTTCTATCCTTTGTTAATGCAACCTGAAACATTAATACCTATATATGACCATCTTTGTCTTACACTTACACTTACATACTGTGATTCTGCCTGCATGGCACATCTCATATGTGGACTTTTTCTAACAGAAAATTCAGGAGCTGGAAACTTCACTGCGTGAAGCTAAGGAAAGTGCTAAGTACAAGGAAAGCAAGATTATAAAGATGCAGAAAGAACTTGAGATGACTAATGACAAAGTAGTGAAACTTCAAGCACAAGTTAATGAATCAAATAAATGCCTTGAAAAAACAAAAGAAATGATCCAAGTACTTCAGGTAACTTAACGAAATCATTTTCTAATAAAAGGGTTTTTTTTTCTTTTACTGTTGAATTTGGAGGATAATTTGGAACTCCAATCTTTTACTTGAACTTCCTGTTACTTATGGAACATCTAAAGTTCAGTACTCAAGCTTAAAAAAGCAAGTGGAAATTTAGAAATGAAATGCAAGAGTAGATTTTCATGTAAGATAATGATTATTTTCTATACTCCTAGAAAAATTGTTTTTTAAAGACTATATTCTTTATAATTTAAGATGTGTATTTTTATTTTTCAGAAAAAAAGCTCATCTAAATATTTACTCTTTATTAGATAAGTATATTTTAAAATTCTTTTTTTTTATTTAATCTCATTATTGAGCCCCACCTGGTAGCCTCTGGGCTGAATCTGATCTGTTTACTTTAGAAAGAACAGTAATTTGTCCTGGGATGCCTGGGTGGCTCAGTAGGTTCTGCTCAGGTCATGATTCCAGGTTCCTGGGATCCAACCCCACGTCAGGCTCTCTGCTCTGCGGGAAGTTTGCTTCTTCCTCTTCCTCTATGCATTCTCTCTCTCTCTCTCAAGTAGACAAATAAATTAAGTAAATGAGGGGTGCCTGGGTGGCTCAGTGGGTTAAAGCCTCTCCCTTCAGCTCGGGTCATAATCTCGGGGTCCTGGGATCAAGCCCCGCATCAGGCTCTCTGCTCGGCGGGGAGCCTGCTTCGTCTTCTCTCTCTCTGCCTGCCTCTCTGCCTGCTTGTGATCTCTGTCTATCAAATAAATAAATAAAATTGTTTAAAAAAAAATTAAGTAAATGAAAGGGGAAAAAAGGAAGCATAGTAATTTGTCTTTGACTGTGAATGCCATTACACAAGTCGTACCTTCATTCATCACATCTTTACCACTCCTTTTTGTTTTAGTTCCTACCCTTCTCATGCTTCTTGTGCTTGGGTTTGACCCTAATAGGCACTTAAGTTTGCTATCTCTTCATTTCAGTTAAAATTAGGAGCAAGTCAAGAATGTCTGCTGCTTTCATCATTTTAACACTGTTCTAGAAGTTCTGGTTCATTCAATAAGACATGAAATAGAAGAGGCAATAAAAAATAGTCTCAATCTTTTTAAATGTAAAGCTAAAAAAAAAAAAAACCAAGAAAATCAATCGTAAAGCTTTATAATTTTTGAGAGTAATTATTTAATATGTCAAATCACATTCTTACTCAATCAAGATAGATTTGTTGAGTATCCGGTATATGTTGGTTTTTGCTCTGGATGTCATGTGTACAGCAGTGGAAAGAAATAAAAGCCCCTCATTTCTTTCAAGGAGCTTACATTCTGGTTCAAGAAGAGAGAAAATAAGCAACTATATATGTATGTCAGATGGTAAAAAGTATGGTAGGAAAAAATTAAGCCAAACTAGACAAGGAGTGTGTGGGTACTGGGTGAGAGTGGGGGCTTGAGGGAAGCAGATATGATCTTAAAACAGGTTGAGCTGAGGAGAGCTGTACCGCTGTGCTGACCTGAGGGGATGGGTGAGCTATGTGATAGGGGAGCTATGTGGAAGGGTAACGGCCTTCCAAGCAAAGGAAATCACAAATAGTGTATGTATGTTTAAGAAACAAGAAAGGAAGAAACAAGAAACAAGAAAACATACAAAACAAGTATGTATGTTTAAGAAACATTCTCCTGAGCAGAATGAGCAAAGGGAAGAGATGGAAAATAAGGAGAGAAGTAGCAGAGAGTCAAATCATAAAGGGTCTCGCAATCTATTATAAGAACTTTAGTTTTTATTTTGAGTGAGATGGGAAGTCATCAGAGGATTTGGGCAAAAGGATATAATGATCTGATGTAATTTTTTAAAGCCTGCTCTTTGAAGGTAATATCCAGGAGGGCATGTTTGTTAATGTGACATATCAACTGCTACAACAAAGGGACCCAAACTACAGCAACTCCAACAAGAGGGAATCTTATTTCTCTGTCCCATATAAAAGTGTGAGTTCCATGTGAGTTCCAGCTCCCTTCCACATGATCATTCAGAGGCTTACTTCTCTCCCATCCTGTTTCTCCACCACCCCCTCAGGGGCTGTTTTTATGTGCATGATTAAAGCCAAGTTGTAAACTGTCCATGCCTGGGTTCACAGGAAAGGGACAGATGGAGAAGCTAAAAATCGTCTTAAAATCTCTACTCTTAAAGGCCCTGACCCAGAAGTGGCACATACTCTTTCCTCATATTTCTTGGAGTCAGAGGTGATTCCAGAGTTTTTGGCTTGAACAACTAGAAGGATGGACTTGCCATCTATGGAGATGGGAAAGACTGTCAGAAGAGCAAGTCTGAAACCATGGGAGCTAAATCGAAACTAAGTTTTGGACACATTGAATTTGAAATGGCTATTGGGGACTCCCAACTTGAGATATGACTGAAGCAGTCATATGTATACACAAATCTATGTATGTGTGTATGTATGTATGTATACACATAGACTTGAGGTGTGAGTTTGGGGAATTGTCAGCATATAAAAGTCATGAGACTGGACAAAGCCGTGAGCATAATGGTTAAGAAATAAGGAGTAACCAAAAGATACCAAGATGGAGCATCCAGTTAGTTCATTGGGAGTTGGGGAGGGGTGGGTAACAACACAGAATGCAGACAGCGGTTTCAGTCTCTTCACAGAAGTGAAGGAAGTGTATCAAGATAGGAAGTAAGCAACAAATTTCTCCACATTCTGTGTAAATTGATACAGACATCTATGGAGAGATAAACATCTTTCCTGCTTACCAGAAATAACTATTTCTGGGATATGGCGTTGTGTATTACCTAAGGGAAAGAAAGCAGAACACAAGATATTCATAAAATCTTCAGTTTTTTTTTTTTTTTTTTGGTATTATAAAAACATTCTATAAAAAGCAACAATGTTTTTAACTCAAGACTTGGCATAAGAAAAAACTTTTAACCTATTCACCACTATTTTAAAACATCTTGGATATAGCTGTCTAATATAATAATGTAAGGTTTGTTAATTGAATAGAGCAGAAAGTAATTTGAACAAATGAATCATTAACAATTTTGTTTAAATCTTGATACATTTCCTCTGTTACATCATTACAAATTGTTTATATCAAGTAGCAATGAATGGATCAAAAATTTAAACTAGTAGAACTTTATGGACATCCTGCATGAGGGGGAAAAAAGATCTTATTTATAACGGCCACAAAATCTAAAATAAGATGATTGAATGACTAACCTTAACAAAAAATGAGGGCAACATATATGAAAAGAAAAATAAAACTTTAAAAAGAAATATAGAGGAACATGTGGTTTATAAGAAACAGACCATTTCCTAGATTAGAACCTAAATACTATACAATCCTAAGTTTTTCCCAAATTAATTCCTAAATTTCATGTAATTCAAATCAGAATTTCAAAGGAATTCTTTTTCAGATAGAGCCACTAAAGTTTCTCAACTGAAACTCTCTAAAAATGCAAATGATAAATAGGTGTTGTTAACCATGAACTTTATATTTTCAGTCTTTTCCATTTATTCAGTAAATCTAAGACCATCAGTATTTCTTGAGTGCAGCTTTGGTCACATACTATATGTTTGAAATATGGAATTCTGTTATCTTTCATTTATAATTCAGTATTTTCAGTTTTGATTTCTTTTATGTGAGAATGTTTTAAATAATGTTATATATGACTAATTTATTTCATTATATTGTGGCAAAAAACTAATTTCTGCATTTCTAAAATATATTGAAATTTTCTTTTTAGTGTCATAAATGAATACCTTTTTTTAAGAGTTTGAACTTTTAAAATAATAATAAAACTTTTAAAAGAAAATTAAATCAATGGAAGAGAATAGAGAGCTTAGATATAGACCAACACAAACGCAGCCAACGGATCCTTGACAGGAGAGCAAAGGCAAGTCAGTGGAGAAGTTTAGTCTTAGCAACTAATGATGCTAGAACAACAGGACTTCCACAAACAGAAAAACAAATCTTAACACAGACCTTCTATCTTCCAAAAGGATTAACTCAGTTGATAAAAATCCAAATGTAGGGGCACCTGGGTGGCTCAGTCATTAAGCATCTGCCTTCAGCTCAGATCATGATCCCGGGATCCTGGGATGTAGTCCTATGTCAGGCTCCCTGCTTCTCCCTTTCCCCACCCCCACCTTGTGCTTTCTCTCTCTTAAATAATTTAAAAAAAAAAAAAAATCTAAATGTAAAAGACAAAACTAAAAAACCCTCAGAAGATAAAATAGAAAACCCAAGTGACTGTGGGTTTGATGGTGTCTTTTTAGATATAACATCAAAAGCATGATCCATGAAAGAAAAAATTGGTAAGTTGGACTCCGTTTAAATTAAAATATCTGCTCTGTGAAAGACAGTTAAGAAAATAAAAGGACAAGTCACAGACCAAAGGAAAAAATTCTGCAAAACACGTATCTGATAAAGAGCTGTTGTCCTAAATATGCGAAGAACTTTTAAAACTCGATCATAAAAAAGAAAGTCAATTAAAATAAATAAAATCTTTTTTTAAAAAAGATTAAAAAACAGACACCAGGGGCACCTGGGTGGCTCAGGGGGTTAAAGCCTCTGCCTTCGGCTCGGGTCATGGTCTCAGGGTCCGGGGATCGAGGGAAGCGGGGAGCCTGCTTCCTTCTCTCTCTCTGCCTGCCTCTCTGACTACTTGTAATCTCTATCAAATAAATAAATAAAATCTAAAAAAAAAAAAAAAGACAACAGTTCTGAGCAGACACCCCACCTAAGAAGATATATGTGTGACAAATAAGCATATGAAAAGATTCTCAGCATGGTATGTCATACCACTGCACAACTATGGTATCTCAAAATGCCATGATGGCCAAAATCCCATGCACCACACTAAAAATGCTGGTGAGGAGGTAGAACAGTAAGAATCCATTGCTGTAGGATGGCAGCTGGGACAGTCAGTTTGAAAGAGAGTTCAGCAGTTTCTTAAAAAACTGCCCACGCTCCAGCCAGTCACATGCCCAGGGAGGCACTGACATTAGCATCTGACTCAGAAGGTGAGGTATTGAACTGGTGCTGTGACTAAGCAAACACTGGGCTCCTCCAAGAATGAGCTTATCTTATGCAGTCATCCACCTCCTTAAGCTGATCATCTATCATTTTTGGAGGTTTTGCATCTTTTTCGTCTTTGCTAGCCATGGTATGCGTGTAAACGTTTCTCTGGGGGTTGGGTTGGGAAAGCCTAGAGGAATAAAGAGAGCTCTCTAGGTCCCTATTTATTTATTTTTGTTTAAAGATTTTATTTAGGGATGCCTGGGTGGCTCAGTTGGTTAAGCAGCTGCCTTCAGCTCAGGTCATGATCCCAGCATCCTGGGATCGAGTCCCGCATCGGGCTCCTTGCTCTGCAGGGAGCCTGCTTCTCCCTCTGCCTCTGCCTGCCATTCTGTCTGCCTGTGCTTGCTCTCTCTCCCTCTCTCTCTCTGATAAATAAGTAAAATCTTTAAAAAAAATAAATAAAATAAAGATTTTATTTATTTATTTGACAGAGAGAGTGAGATCACAAATAGGCGTAGAGGCAGGCAGAGAGAGCGGAGGGGGGGTGGGAAGCAGGCTCCCCGCTGAGCAGGGAGCCCGATGTGGAGCTCGATCCCAGGACCCTGAGATCATGACCTGAGCCGAAGGCAGAGGCTTAACCCTCTGAGCCACCCAGGCGCCCCTCTAGGTCCTTATTTAGATGGATTTTATTTTTTGTTCAATATCTATGACTGTGGTACAGTGCTAAAAAGAAATGAGTGATTTATTCAGCAGTAATAAGAAATGAGCTATTGAGTCGCAAAGACATGGATGGACCTTAAATGCACACTGTTCATTAAAAAGAAGCCAAACTGAAAAGTGATTCCAACTATATGATATTCTGGAAAAGACAAAACCAGGGAGACAGTAAAAAGATCAATGATTGCCAATGGTCCAGAAGGGGTAAGGGAGGGAAGGACGAATAGGTGGAACACGAGGTTTTTAAGATAGTGAATGTATTCTGTATGATATCGTACCAAAGAACATGTGTCATTGTACATTTGTCAAAACCCGTAGAGTATGCAATACAAACAATAAACCTGAACACAGCCTGGAATGTATCAATATTGGCCCATCACTAAAATGTGATGTTAATATATAGGGGAAACGGACAACATGAGGAGGGAGATAGAGCATGACAAGGATATATAGGAACTCTGTACTCTGCTCAATTTTTCTATAAACCTAAAGTTGCTCTAAAAATAAAAGTCTATTTATAAAAAAGTTTAAATATATGTATGTATTTACATATGATGTTTTTTCTCTGAGTAGAAAGTAGATGTATTTTCAGCACTGGAATGAACCATCTTTGAGTACAAATATCCCCACAACATTTTATAGTACTTTGTACCTTGAATTCAATTCTAGTTTGATATTTATATTGTCATTCTGACATCTTTTTGTTTCATTTTCCTGATTTACCTTTGTCTACCCATTATTTTCAACCTTTCTGTTTCATTTTGTTTATATCATTTTTAATTGGAGAAAAATTTGTTTTAGGAAATGAAGGGGCACCTGGGTGGCTCAGTAGGTTAAATGTCTGCCTTTGGCTCAGGTCATAATCCCAGGAGTCCCAGTATCAAGTCCTTTGTCAGGCTCCCTGTTCAGTGAGGAGTCTGCTTCTCCCTCTCCATCTGCCCCTCACCCTGCTCATGTTCTCTCTCATTCTCCCTCTCAAATGAATAAAATTTAAAAAAAAAAAAAAAAACAGTGAAGGTCATGTGTTCTTAATTCCCTGTTAGCTTCCAATAATTTCATGTATACTTCACATCAAATATGTACATGTTGTTCATTTTAGGGTTAAATTCTGTGCTTTTCACTTTTCATGTATTTGGAGCTTACTGTTTTAAAATGTTCCTACCAAATCCTACAGCTCTTTAAAACTGCTCTGAAATTATTTTTCTTTTCTCTAAAAAAATTAGGACAAAGTTGCTTTAGGAGCTAAGCCCTATAAAGAAGAAATTGAAGATCTCAAAACGAAGCTGGTGAAAATAGACCTAGAGAAGATGAAAAATGCTAAAGAGTTTGAAAAAGAGTATGTCAGAATTTCTTATCTTTTTCAGGTTGCTTACCATACTGTTGAAATAGTTATATTTTTTTTGTATTATGGAAACCTTCTGTATTATTACATATTTGTTTTACCTGTAGTTGGATATAAGTACTTATTTGAAGTGTTTTAAAATCTGTGATTTTTTTCTGTCTTTTTTAGACAGTTATTAGTTAGCGTATCATGTTTTGAAAATGCCAAATAAATACAATTATCATTAAAAAAAAAGGAAAAAAGTATGTCTTTGCCTTAACTGAACATGACCTTAATAGCTTAAGTTTCGGGAACCCTGGTGGCTCAGTCAGTTAAGCATCTGCCTTCGGCTCAGGTCATTATCCCAGGGTCCTAAGATTGAGCCCCACATTGGGCTCCTTGCTCAGCAAAGAGCCTGCTTCTCCCTCTTCCTCTGCCTCCTGCTCCCCCTGCTTGTGCTCTCTCACTCTCTTGCTCTCTCTCTCTGTCAAAAAAATAAATAAATCTTTAAAAGGAAAAAAAGCTTAATTTTCCCATCTAAATTTTTTTGCATTAAAAAGTTAACTTTTTAAAATATATGGAAGTATTATTACTACTTTTTACCCCACTGAGCCACCCAGGCGCCCCTATTAACTGCTTTTTAAAATAAATACAAACATCCACAGATTTTAAATTTATTAAATTCTCATTACATCAGCAAAATTTTTTAAAAACAAGCATAGTTATGACCAATTACTAACACATGTCTTTTGATGCTTCTTGCTGTCTTAAATAAACAGCATAAAAAATAGTCTTTTTATGCTTGAAATTGAATGTTAAGAACCTAAATATATGTGTATCTTTGTGTATTTAGCAGTTTGACTAAGATTTCTGTTGGTTCTCTTAATTTAACTTGTTCTTCCTATTGTGTTTTTGTGTAAAATTGTATATCATTTTAAAATACGGTACCTAGTACCCAAAAAGCATGACTGAGTTCTTTTTATTTATATATACTATATATAATGGCATGCCTGAGGTTCTTTATGATATAACATAATGAACATTAAACAGTCAGAGACAGTGAATTAGAAATATAATATTGCCACTTATTATTATATCACCTCACATATAAGCTGTTTAATCTCTCTGGTCTTTGTATTCATAATCAGTAAGGACAGGTTTGTATTAGATGATTTCTTAAGACTCCTTCTGACTCCTAATGCTTTTTGTTCTTCCTCTAAATATTTAACAATGATACCAAATTTGCCCAAAAAGTAGCACTCTGAAGCTTCATGCATTCTAACCAGCCTTCCACTGGTAAGACTATGCGTTTTAGTGAAACTTACACCTATCAGTTTCCTCATTACAAAAAAGCAATCTCAGGGGCGCCTGGGTGATGCAGTCAGTTAAACATCCAACCCTTGGTTTCAGCTCAGGTCATTACCTCAGGGTCCTGAGATCGAGTTCTGCATTCGGCTCCACAAAGAGTATTTGAGTTTCTCTCTCCCTCTCCCTCTGGCTCTCTCTCTCTCTCTCTCAAATAAATAAATAAATCTTTTTTAAAAAGGCAATTTCACATATAGAATAGAATCAGCAGATACTTTCAGAGTTTCTAAAAGCAGAAAGTCTCGTGATTTAACGCTGCTGATTAACACTTAGGCCAACAATTCCTAAAATGTCACTTTCTACTAGGGAACAGTGAGCAGAATTTGACCTTTGTATCACATTAGACTAGAGCTGCAGCCAGGGTTTGCTTCCCTGACGGTGTTGAAATAGGTAAAAGTTCTTTTCACTTTTATGCTCTGGTAATTGTATCTGATTAACAAAGCTATTGGGCTTCCAGAAATTTAAAAAGAATTTTAAAAATTACTCCTGCAACCAAATAGAATATTTCCAATTTGATGGCGTTACAGCTATAAAATACTTGATACCCTACTGCCATTTATGGGTTTTATGTCAATGTGATATATCTTATTGGTAGCAGTTCTGTTTATTCTTCCATCAAAAATTAGTTACAAAGCTTTTACATATTTCTGTTGTTCTTTTTAGAATTACTTCTACAAAAGCCACTGTAGAATATCAAAAAGAAGTTATAAGGGTATTGAGAGAAAATCTGAGAAGAAATCAACAAGCCCAAGATATCTCAAGTAAGTAGAAAATACTGATATTGCCAGATTCTTTCCATCTTATTTCTCAATATACTTAGACATTTTGAGGACTGTTATATTTGTGACAGTCGAGAATAAACTGTTAACCACTAAGTTAGAAAAAAACTATTTTTGAAATGAATTTATTGGGATCATATTTATCCTGTCATATCTCCTTAGTTTCCTGTAATCTCAACTATTTATCCAATATAGATTCTAAAAAAATAAGAGTTTTACCTTTGCATTATCTGATCTTTACATGTGGGTGAAGATATCTTCAGTACTAAAAAAGAATGAAGTAACTATCAAGGTAAAAGTAACCTTCCCAATAAAAATACAAACATATTGTAATAGACTTTAACCATGTGTACAGCAAAAATACAATCAGCACACGGTGGAAAAAAGGAAATAATATCCTACCTGTTCTTAGTACTGAAAATAGAGTTAATGCTTACTTGCAAAGTCGTTCAAATTTATCTTTTCAATACAATTTTCAAGTCTAATGATCAAATTTCTGCATGTGCATTCCTCAACCTATTCCTTTTTCCATATAACTGTCTCTTTGTTTCATTTGAAAAGAGAGGATGTTGAACAGTACTTGGGACAGCTTTGTGCAGTAAACAAGCAGTGAACTAAGTCAGGACCGGTCCTCATTTGATGGCTTTATGAAATCAAGGGGATGATACCTGACCTCCTTATATATATTTATATATATGTGATATAAAGAAAATATATATAGTTTACATATTATATTGTGTATATATACATATATATTTTTACATGTATATACATATTATATTACATATATACACATATACATTTATATTTTTTACATATTGTGTATATATGTATATATATTTTTACATATTATATTGTGTGTATATATGTATATATATGTAAATATATTATATATTATAATACTTATATATGTATTTAAGGATCAAACTGAAAGTTATGTATAAAAGCACACTGAAAATTCTGAATGTCAATCCAACATAAGGTAATACTTGTGTGTATTATTATCCACACATTTAAAAAAAAAAAATGAGATAGTTTTAAAGATGTTGTCTCATACATGTTTGGCCTTAACTTCTCTAGTGTCTGTTGCTGGAGAAGTTCACCCCTACCTGGAAAACTTTAAGAGACAGAACTAGAAACAATCATGATTTGTTGTAATTACTCTTGATTTGTTTCTTTCCCAGGTACATATTATATCTGAACTCAGAGTAATTCAAAGGAAAATGGACATTGAGTATCTTCCCCCCAACGTACCTCACCCTGTTTTGTAAATTGTCAGTTAAGCGGTGGCTTGTTCTACTCTATAAGCGCCTCAAATTTTTAGGCATTTTTAAATGCCTAAATTTTTAAATGCCTTTAAATTTTAAAATTTACAAAACATGTCCTTACCTTTTTTCCACACATATAGTGTAGAATACTTAATAATATATGCTTTTGTATCATTCTGAATTTTATTTAGTTACAACTATGTCTTGAGAATTTAGAGCGCACTGAATGTCTGGTGGTGGACCCCACACACACATTCTGTGCTATAAGAAGCCCTCCGGGGTGTCCACTGATGCAGAGGAGAGAGCAGGGAAGGACAACACTAATGGGGGGGTGGGGCGGGGAGCCGCTGCTGCCCTCATAGTGGAAGCTTCCAGACAGCAGTGTCGTGCTGATGGAACTGGTGGCTGGAGAGAAGCGGGAGGATTCTAGAGACAATTAGAAGTGTTGATCAAGCAGGCTTAGGAGAGGAGGAAAAAGAAGGAAGGAAGGATGGCTTCTAGGGACCTGGTGATTGAGATAGTCTGGTTTTTGCATTGACTTAATGGCTCTTCGTAGTATTTCCTCTATTTTAAACTTTGGAGATAATGAAAATGATGCCCTATTGGTGTATTTGCCCCCCTCACAGTTGTGTCAGAATGTACGGACTCTCAGCCTTCAAATAAACCCTTAACTTGTGGAGGTGGTAGTGGCATCGTACAGAGCACAAAAGCTCTTATTTTAAAAAGCGAATATATACGGCTAGAAAAAGAAGTCTCAAAGTTAAAGCAGCAAAACGAACAGCTAATAAAGCAAAAGAATGAACTATTAAGGTAAGATATGCTTACGTGATATTGAAATTATGCTTCTGGCTATTACATGTGGGGAGCTTGGTGTATACACTTCCATACAAGTTTTTGCAGTCGGCAACCCTTCATGCATACGGGGAAATAACTTTTAGAATATATGTAATAAATGTTTTTAAAAAGGAATAAGACTGTATTACCCCCATTCCAGATGTTTGCTATCTGTCAATTGACCTATTTTTAACAAAGCCAGAAACAGGAAGTAAACAAAGATCTTTAAGGGGCAACTTAAATTCTTTTTTTTTTTTTTAAGATTTTATTTATTCATTTGACAGAGAGAGGTCACAAATAGGCAGAGAGGCAGGCAGAGAGAGGGGGGTAGCAGGCTCCCTGCTGAACAGAGAGTAAGGGGCAACTTAAATAGTCCACAAGTCTGCATACCCAAGTCAAAGGAGAATTCCGTAAGTCCATTATTATTGTAGCCTATTTTCTTTTTATTTTATAAACAATTCTAACAAATTTAATATTTGGCTTTTATCAACAATTAGAATCTTGTGCCAAGCACTTTACTAATGATACAATAGAAGAACAATAGATAGTAAACAAATAACTGTACAACTAATTTTTTGCATTGAGTGCTATTAAACAGCAAGAACAGAAAACCACAACTAGGACCTTATCTAGATGTGGGGAGGGGTGATGGTGAAGAAACTGATAAAAGAGTAGCTGTGGAAAAGGGCAAGAGTTAGGCCAGATGAAAGGAGAGACTGGAAAGCCTTTTAGGCAGAGGGCAACAAGTGCACAGGCTTTTGGTCACAAAAAATAACCAGTTAGTGGAACTGAAAGACACAGAATGTGGCCAGGGAATAGAGAACGAATGTACCAGGTGAATAAATGCAGGAATTGTACAGACTTACAGTCTCTCTCTCTCTCTCTCTTTTTTTCTCCTCTATTCAAGCAATAATCATCATCTTTCCAATGAGGTCAAAACATGGAAGGAGAGAATCCTTAAGAGAGAGACTCAAAGAGAAGTTAGTTGTGAGAATTCTCCACAGTCTCCTAAAGTGACTAGAACACCTTCCAAAAAGAGGCCATATACACCTTCTCAATGCAAGGAACGGAATTTACAAGATCCTGTGCCAAGGGAATCACCAAAGTCTTGGTTTTTTGACAGCCGATCGAAATCTTTACCAACGCCTCATCCAGTTCGCTATTTTGATAACTCCGGTTTAGGCCTTTGCCCAGGTACATAAATATACTGGTTCTTTGGAAATCAGGGGATAACTGTCAGAACTTATCTTTAATTTGTGGCCCCTAAGGGCAAGGTTAGACAGGATATAGTTGAGCAAGCTACAGTGCACAGACTTCATTTGGCATTTCTGTTGTGAGAAAGTTTCTCCAAAGCACAGCACTGATGTCCATCATTTTTTACCCCAAATTGAGTCTTTATTCTACCTCTTAAACCTTCAACTTTTCCCTAAGATATTAGAAACTCTATTAAAAACATGAAGACACTACCCTATAAACAAAACTTTCACTGAAGAAGCCTTTCTTATCAATGCAGTGGGCCAGTATTTCCAATAGCATTATCTTCATTTTACACAAGCGAGATCATAGACTTGTTTCATTTACTTATTAATTTATCCAATCAGCAAAATATTTTGGTTTCCAACTATGTGTCAGAGAAGAGACCCTGATGGTACATTGATAAGCTAAGCCAGACATGGTCCCCACCCTACGGAAGCTTACAGTCCTGCTGAGAGATACAGTAATCAAGTAATCAAAAATAAAAATAGGTAAAATTCTAGAGTGTAAAAGGCTGTGAGGCATATAATAGGCTTTTGTTTCAGGAATAGTAAGGAAGTCTTCCTTGAAGAACGGCGCTGAGATCTAAAAGGTTAATGTGAGTCAGCTTAACAAAGAGAGGAGGGAGACGTATTTCAGGCAGATGGAACAGTGACACCCCAGGGTAGGACGGACTGTAACCAGGGTCGGGGCTGAAAGAAAGCAAGCTGGCCAGAGCACAGTGAACCCAAGCTGCTGCGGGTGGAGGCAGTGCAGCCAAACAGAAGAAGAGCCAGGTGTGTGGCAATTTGTCGATTGTATAAAGGAATTTTTACTTTTTCCTGAAAACATGTAGACAAAGACTTTGAAAGATTTTAAACAACATGATGGGGGGAATCATAATGAGTTATAAATTTTGAACACAGAACCTTAGCTCTATGGTGACCAACAACTAATAGGAGCAAGAGTTGATGACAGTTGTCCAAGCAAGAGGTGTGATAGTAGCGAGGACGTGAGCAGGCTCAAGGGAGATACAGAAAAATGGATGGACGGGAGAGATTTGGGAGTAAAGTCGGCAGTGCTAGGCTCCTCACTGGTTGGAGGGAGGCAGTGTGAAGGGTCACCCCCACCTCAGCCCAGGTGCCAGACACAGAGGGGTAGATGGAGAATTAGCAGAGTGCCCCAGTCATACTATGGTGCCCCGAAAAACTGAGAAACTTTTAATCACCTTTTGATTTTATCTGATAGTGCCAGGGACATAGACCGATACGAATTCATTCAACCGCAAATAAAAATGCTTGAGTCTTTTTATCAATATATGCATCACTCTGGTACTGTTTTTAACTGAAGTAAATAAAAGAGTAAGCTGGAAGAATATATGAATCAAAAACTGACCAATTCAGGGGTGCCTGGGTGACTCAGTTGAGCATCTGCCTTCAGCTCAGATCATGGTCCAAGTCCTAGAATCAAGTCCCACATCAGGCTCCCTGCTGAGCAGAGAGCCTGCTTCTCCCTCTCTCTCTGCCTGCTGCTCCCCCTGCTTGTGCTCACTCTTCTCTCTCTGTCGGTCAAATAAATAAAATCTTTAAAAAAAAATTTTTTTTTTTTTTTTTTTTTTTTTTTTTCAGAATTAAAGGACATAGTCCCAGCCTGAATTAGTAAAATACCATTCAAAAAGAACTTTAATGTGGGGCACCTGGGTGGCTCAGTGGGTTAAAGCCTCTGCCTTCGGCCCAGGTCATAATCCCAGGGTCCTGGGATCGAGCCCCGAGTCGGGCTCTTTGCCAGTGAGGAGCCTGCTTCCCCTCTCTCTCTCTGCCTACTTGTGATCTCTGTCTGTCAAATAAATAAAATCTTTAAAAAAAAAAAAAAAAAAAGGGACGCCTGGGTGACTCAGTTGGTTGGACGATTGCCTTCGGTTCAGGTCATGATCCCGCAGTCCTGGGATCGAGTCCCGCATCGGGCTCCCAGCTCCATGGGGAGTCTGCTTCTCCCTCTGACCTTCTCCTTGCTCATGCTCTCTCTCACTGTCTCTCTCTCAAATAAATAAATAAAATCTTTAAAAAAAAAAGAATTTTAATGTTAGTTTTTAATTTGAATTATAAAAAGATAAATTTTCTCAACAAATTGAGATAATTGCAAAGACCAGGTATGTGAGATTTATTTTAATTAATCATTTGAAAATGAATATTGCTTATAAGCATAAATACAGTTGAAGTGCTTTTTAAAGCCTCAGAGTGTTCAAAGAATGACTAAATATTCTCCAAAATATATACTATTTGCTTAGCACAGCTTTTTTTTTTCCTAAAATTAGGGCCAAGGAAAATTAGACTCAATCTGTGTTTGATTCACTTTTAATCTCAAACTGATGAATTTCAAGTGACACTTTATTACTTCTTGGCTTTATATACAAAACGGGTTAGGGTTAAGGTTATAACAGTTCTGTAACAGTTGATTTTATGAGAAAATAGACAGTAAACTTCTCCACCTCAGATGAAGTGACATACACCTTTTTAATGACCAAACATGAGGACATTAATGACCATATTGTCATTTTTCATGCTTTATATCTCTACTGTCTTAAAATTGTTTCCATTTCCAGTTGTATTCAAATTGTGTGTGTGTGTGTGTGTGTGTGTGTCTGTGTGTGGTTTTTAATAAGATTATTTTTGGGTTTTCTTGTCTTTTCTCAGAAGAACAAACTGCTGGAGCAGAGAGTGTGGGTCCTCAGTCAGCTCCGTGGCACACCTCCTCAGGAAAAGATGCACCCGAGTGCAGGACACAGTAGACTCCTTTCCTGTTGCTTTTCTGGAGCCCCAGCATTCCCTGCTTGGACTTGACTGTTTATTCCTTCATGTGCCTGTCCTTGGCAATGTTATCACAGCCCAACTTAATCTCAATTCAGTTTTCTTTTTGCCACTTGAAATCGAAGATGAAGGAATAGAGATTAATGCCTTCCAGTAATTTAGAATGGTGATGGCAATATCTTCTTGAATGTGGTAATACTTCAGAAGTTGAATTGTTTTATTTATTTATATATTTTGTAAAGAATAAAATTATTGAAGGAATGTTCCAGTCTTTCCATGTATGCATAAAATGTATTCATTTTTATTAATGTAATGTTATCCACATATGACTTAGATAATTCCAAGGCATGATGCATACATTAAAGTGTCATTTAATTAACAGAATTATAAGCTCCTTTTTAAGTACCTTGAACATTCAATAAATGTTTAATTAGTGGTTCTGAATCACAACTCCCTGTAATGGTAATTAACGGTTTCTTGGTGGGGTACTCAGGGTATAATTGGCTCTACTTGTTTGTTGAATTTTTCAGAATCTCAGAATTTTGCTATGAGAATATATACATGCTTTCGGGATTTAAGTGGCTAAGGGATAGCAAAGTGCTATGACCTCTTCATTTTCTAGGCTAATCTTTCTTTTGCTATAATAAATATAAAAATTCTCTCTCACTTTTCTGTCATCCACTAGCCCCCTAGACAAGCACTCTAAATTGGTTTGTTTGTTACCAGATTTTGTAGTCTACTGCATTTTACTCCCAGCTGGAAGAACTTTATGGACCATTTGGTCTACCCTTTTATTTCAGGCATGAGGAAACAGCACCAGAGTTTCTATCGAAGTAGAAAGTCTTTTAAACCGAGAGTCCCCACAGATATATAAGGCATCTCTGGATGGGTTTCTTGCAGTCTGTAAAACCTCAGAAATTTTATGTTAATTTGATAATTTTGTCATTTTTCTAGGATACTTGGATCCATACTTTTGTTATTAAAGGGATCTGTCACCCTACAGGAGGTTAAGAACTGTGCTTTTAGGGAGGTTTTATAGTATTACTTTTGTATCATATGACTTTGAAAAAACACATAAAACAGCAAGTTGCATAAGGTCTAGAACAGAGTTAGTGATTTCAACTCATTCTTGGCTCTTTGGTAAGATTCATTCAAAGGAAGAGATTGTGAATTACATCATAGCCATCGTTTTACAATCCATGGATGGATATTTTCCCTTAATATACTATCATAAGAATTCAACAGGGTTAAGGGGAAGGTGTCCCTTTCTTTAATTCTCTCCCCCAAACCTGCATGTCTCTTCAGAGTCTTGTTTCTCCTTTTCACTCTTCCGCAAATAAGATACTATGACAGAGCTATAGATGTGATTCTTTACAATATCTGCTCCTCTGCTGAATAAAAGTAATTCAAAGTAGTAATTTCACCTGGATAATAAAACTAAGGCCATTAAAAGTATAATCAGTCATCAGGTATCCTTCCAGTCCGTAAAATGTTGGTTAACTCTAGAATTTGGATGTCCATATTCTTCCTCAACTTCAGGAAGTTTGGGGCCATTATTTCTTCAAATAAGTTTTTTGTCCTTTTTTCTCTACTAGAAGTACCATAATGCATACATCGGTCCATTTGCTGATGTCCCATAAGTACCTCAGTCTTTCTCCACTTTTCTTTCTTTTTTTTTTTTTTTTTTTAATTTCTTCCCTTCTTCTTTGATTCTTCCTGCTGCTTGATCAGGTCTGCTATTGAACTCCTCTAGTAAATATTTTTAATTCAGTCACTGTATTCTTCAGGTCCAGAATTTCTGTTTGGTTCTTCGTAATAGTTTTTTTTTTTTTTTTCTTTGTTAATACGTCATTTTGTTCATACCTCATTTTCCTGATATCATTTAGTTGCCTATTTGCATTCTCTTATAGGTCATTGAGCCTCTTAAAAACCATCATTCTGAATTCTTTGGTAATTCATAGATCACTGTTTCTTTGGAGTTGATTTCTGGAAATTTATTTTGTCCTTTGGGTCCTGTTTCGTGTGTGTGCGCGCGCACCTTCTGAGTTTTTGCTGAGTTTTATGCATTTGGAAAAGCAGCCACCTATTCTAGTCTACAGCGATTCTGGGGATCTCTGAAACCTTTTTAGGGGGTGTGACTTCTGGGCTGTGAGTATAGTTTGCCAATTAGAGAAGTTTACTTATTTCTCTTCTAGGAGCTGGATCTCTTGCTCCCTCTGGTGTGTGTCTGCAGTACAGCATGATCCCTGCTCTTTTCTTCTCATTGGCCCCCAGGAATCCAAAGTCTTTCAGCTCCCCATTAGCATCCCAGGTAGGCAAGACAAATATCAGTCTTCGACAGCCCTCCAAAAAGTTGGAACACCAAGAACATACTCCACTCTTCTCGCTCTCTCCCAACCGTGATGAACCACTCCAGCCTCCATCTGGGGCACTGTAAGCCCTATAGTGCCAACTGTTGCCAGTTCCATCAGCACTCCAAGTCAGGCAAGACAGAAACCCTTGGGATGCCACAGAAAAGGCCAGAACTCTGGGTTAGTTTTCCACCCTTCTCTTTCCCCCTACTCTCCTGGAGAAACCAGGAGCCAGAGGCTGAGCTGTGATGGCTTAGGCAAAGGGTGGGATGGGTGGAACCAGAGGTAAAGGGAAATGACCCTTCTTGCCCATTTCAATGCAGCTGTTCTCAGCTCACCCCTGACCTGGGGTACTGCAGCTTCTCAACTGACTTGAGTTCTCATAAAGCTATTTTAGTCTGTATATTGTTTTAAGTTGGTGTCTCTGTGAGAGAAATAGAGGTAGAGCTTTCTAGTCCTCTGTGTTGTCAACATCTCCCTCAGAATGTTGCTTAAATCTTATGACCTGGGTTTCGATATCGTGATAAATGGCTGTGAAAGTCAACAATGAAACATGCAAAAAGGTTAAAAAGCAGTAATGTAGTCAGACACTAAAATGGTCTGGAAAGTAAAGTCAAGACCAAAGAAGACAAATAGATTATTATTCGTAGGAAACATTTTCTGGAGAGCCTGACAAAATTATATCCAGAAAACCTAGTAAAAGCCTACCATTCATACTCAGCAAACATTTAACTGCTGTTTACTGTGTGCCAGTCACTGAGCTAGGCACCAAAAGTTACTGCCTTTGCAAACATATTTAGTTGGAAAACAAACATCTCATAATATCTGCTGACTGCAACATAAGGATGAAAAAGATATGGTCCTTAACCTTGAAGAAATTTAGTCCATGGAAAATACACATGGGTAAGAAAATTTTTGCAACACCATGTTACTTAGTCTGTCAGAGAGTCAGCATTATTGTTGGAAATCAGGACAAAGGGAGGCTCAAGAAAGCTGCACCAAGAAAGAAGTGTAAGACTTGGCCTTGATTAGAGAATCCTCATATCCATAAAAAATGTATTCTAAAACCCTCAGAAGTTAAAGACATTGTTACTAAAGCAAGGAGCACAGTTGAGTATTTTTAGAGATCATTAGACTCCGTTAGAAGCTACCCTGGGCAATGAGAGACGGTCTTACCAAAGACTTTATGTGCATATGCTTATATGTGCAGAAATTAGATCAGAGATTTTTTTTCAATCCATTTTTGCCATCTGCTGTAATTGAATTATAGTCATCATTAACACTTATTAAGTACAAATGTAACAAATGGTGTGCTGGTAGTTGTGAATGCCTCGTCCTTTCTCCTCACATGCCTGAGCCAGGTGCTATGTTTACCTTCTTTACAGAAAAGGAAACTGGGCCTTGGAGAGTTAAATGATTTACTGAGCTAGAGAAGAATGGGGGACTTATCTTACTGCACAGCCTTTCTTCTGAATCCATCATGACTGTTATGAGTATACTTCGCTCCAAAGACAAAAAACTTGGGGGAAAATGTAATCCAAAGAAATTATTTTTTCTCACCTAAGAATCCCAATGGGGGACATGCCTGAGTGGGTCAGTGGATTAAGCTTCTGCCTTCAGCTCAGGTCATGGTCCCAGAGTCCTGGGATCAAGCCCCACATCAGGCTCCCTGCTCAGCAGGGAGTCCGCTTCTCCCCCTCTGCACCCCCACCCACTGCTTGTTCTCTCTCTTACTCTCTCAAGTAAATAAATAAAATCTTAAAAAAAAAAAAAAAAAAGAATCCCAGAGGAGTTAGTCTAAGGCTGTGGCACAGAGGCTGTCTTCAAGGAATCAGGTTCCTTTCTTTATCCTGCTCTGTCCTTGATGGATGCCTCTGACCTCATGCCAAGTCACACAACTTCTGCCATGTCCCAAGACAGATCCACATTCCAGGAAAAAAGAAGGGAAATGGTTTCAAAGGAGCCCTACCTTTCTATCCAAAAGGAAATCCTCCACAACTTGCATTTCATTAGCCAGCTCTAGCAACAAAGAAGGCTAGGAATGTGAGAGTTTTTTGTTTTCTGGTCTTTATAAAATAAAAGGCAGGGGAAAGTGTGGTGGGTAGATGTTGAGTGACCAACAAAAACAATACATGTACAAAATAACCGACGCAACCACTCTGCTCAATTATACACCTGCTATAGTGTGACTTAGTAAGCCTAGCACACATGGCCCAGTTCTTTTCGATCTGTACTGTCCGTTCTTTTCGACTAAACTTGATTTGTTGCTCTTACCCAACATGTTCCCTTTCAGGCCTCCACGTTGTAAATCTCAGAGTGTTACCTGGACCCTGCCCCTCCATGTACTTGCGGTGCCTGCACCCCGCCACTAAATATGGACAAGTGTTAGAAGACAAAGAGTGTGACAAAACAACCATAACTATACCTTAAACACAAGGGAATTTTTATTTCTCTCCCTCAAAACAATCTTGGTGAAGGGCCAGGAAGGAAGACTCCACTATCTTAAATGACCTAGGGTCCTTCTATGTCATTGACCTGCTGTCTTCCATATGATGTTTCTGACTCATTAAGTTTTTAATATCCTAGAACAGCACATAGTAGGCACGAACAAACAACAAAGACTTGGATTAAAGTGACGTAAATGATTCCCATTTCCTAAGTAAGCCCTGAGTTGCCTTTCCATTTTTCACCTTCTCCTTGGAGTTAGCCGTTCTACCAGATGTCCAGTAGATGGCAGCACACACACACACACACAAATATAGTATACAAACGTGAGCCTCCTTCTCCTAAAACCGAAGGAAACTACAAATCCCGGCGTGCGTGATGCGCCTGACTTGCTTCTGCACAAAGGTCTCATCAAGTCTGTGGCTGGCCCAGGGATCTGGAGGACGACATCCACTTGCTGCTCTAAAGTAAGACTTCCTAATATTTTTTAAGTTACACTTCAGCCTGGGAAGGCGGGGGGATGGGGGGCGCTTCGATTTGCTTTGCTCTGCGGGGTACCTATTTCAAGATTAATCTTAGCAGTTAGAT